ACTCGCCACAACCAATTTAATACAGCAAAGGTCACTCTCGTCTTCATTTACTAATCTGCCATTCAGATGTCTGATATTCATATATTCATAGTCATTTAACCAAGTGATAGTCAATGCAGTGGAAGTCATTTAACTTGTAGAATTATTGCGCTAAGTCTCTATTTCCTAAAACAGCTTAAATAGAAGTAGTCGACCTTGTGTCCTTAAGCGAAAAGTCCCAATTTAATTCCAGTTAAACAGACATTCATATGATTAACTGTTCTTGAAAAGGCCTAGATTTCTATGCAACTGGATGTTTTATCTTTAGCATGCTTGGGATGAAAGGTCATTAATTCAGTGCCTTGCCTTGTATTTTCTCTATATGCTAAAGCATATGAATACTTTGAAAAAGTCATATGGAATTTACAACTGTTTGAAATATAAATTTGTGAAAAGAAGGCAAGTTCTAATTAACAGTTAGGCAATATTTTTTCGAGGAGAAATGATGCTGCTTCCAAATTTGGTATGTTGTCACATAAAAATAAATCCATGTTAAACAACTCACACATGCTAATTGTCTGAACTACATTTTGAGGTGAAGTTTTCACACTGGAAGTAGATGCTATGGATGTCTAGATGATATAACAATACTTCTTGTATATCTTTTTAATTTTGTAAATTGAAGGCTTGAAAAAAAGAAAAAATGTATTTGATTTCATGAAATATTTTATCTCTATCTCCTGTTTGCCCTCAGGCACATAATCATTCACAGTTGACTCCTGTTATTGCAGACACCCTTGGTGACAGATCTAGTGTCCATTATAGCAAGAGTACATAATAGCAGGGTGTGAGACAAAAATGAATGCTTTGTCCCTATTAATGAAATAATATGTAACTATGCAAACGCAAAGTTTCTAACATGGTCTCACGAATCAAGAAAAGATCTGGCCACAGGTTGGAAATTCTCATGTTTGCACTCAGTTGAAGAATGGTTTCTTCATTTCCCATTATCCTAATTTCGCTTTATATTATATTACGTGACTCAGGATTTTGGACAAAGTACTAAAGTGGCTGCTATAGTGAGAGAAAAAACAGTGAAATGTTGTGTTGGGCATGAAAGTGTCTACATTTAGGTAGCAGCGAGAGTCCATAACAACGGTTGTTAATTTCAGTCATTTCTTTATGCGTTTTGTGGGGGAGCTGGCTTTTGTAGGCCATGGTGAGATGATGAGGACATTTTCTGGCAAACAAACATTGCCTTCTGCCATTGTTTTTTTTTACTGCACTCCTTATTGGCACTCCCATTGTCAGTTTGTGCTAAGCAAGTTCTATTTCCTATTTTCTCAGCTTCTAAATTCCTTCTATGACCAAAATTGTCAACACTGCTGGCAATGGTTTGGTTATGTAGTTGTGGCTCTTTTCCTATCTGTATTGACCCTTTCCTTTCCAACCAGCTTTCAATAATTTTTACCTTGATAAAACTTGCAATTGTTATTGTAGATGACTTGCACATGATTTGATATCCAAAAACATCTCTTGCACAACTGTAGTTAATAAACTAGTAATGCTTAGTTTGATGTGAGAAAAAAAATTGGCTAATTTGATTGTCATGAGGTAGGGAGAAGTCTGGGAATTTTATTTTGAGTCAGATAAAATTTACATCCTTGAAAGAAGTCAGGGACAATTGAAATCTCAATTAAGTCTTGTCCATTCCTTTTTGTGATGGAAACATCAACATCTTCGATAATAATCCTGACAAACTACTCGCTAACAGAAACATTTCTGATTTTAGTGATCATTTTTCGCAGTTCTGTATCACAGTGTTAGCAAAAGATAAACTTCAACAAGTTAAAAATTTAAAAATATGTGACTTTTCAAGATTCTCCATTGATCGCTTTAGCAATGAGCTGTCTGAAGTTAACTGGAATCAAATAATTGCAAATGGAACAAATGGTGTGCACAAATTGTTTTCATTGTTTTGCAACAAGTATAATACAATTGTTAACAAACATGCCCCCATGAAAAAATTATCTAATCACAAAGCAAAGCAGCTATCTAAACCATGGTTAACTAATGGAATTAAAGTTGTGATTAAGGTTAAAAATAAATTATATGAAACTGGAGACAAAGTTAGGTACAAACAGTATGGAAATAAAATTTGTACACTGATACGCATATGCAAAAGGAGATGTTATGATATGTTTTTCGAAAATAATATGGGCAACATGAAAAAAACCTGGCAAGGAATCAATGAACTTTTGCATCGGTGGAAAAACATTAACATTATTGAACACTTTGCAACAGACTTGCTTACAACCTGCCTATTCCCCAAAAACATAGTCTAGACTATGTTGATAAGTGCAAATGTCCAATTTCATCCTTCCTTTTCCAACCTGTTTTACCTGAAGAATTACTGTCAGAAATATTATATGTACTTGTATGAATGATAAATCTTGTGGTTTATGTACTCCTCACCTACCAAACTATGCAAATTCATTGATCTTATTCATTGATCTTAAAAAAAGCCTTTGGTACCATCAATCATGACATTTTGCTCGATAAGTTCAATTACTATGACTTTTGAGGATAAATTAATGATTAGTTCTCCTTGTATCTCAAAAATTGCATGCAAACAATGCAAGTAGGCCATCAAAAATCAGATAAAGCCGTCTTTAGTTGTGGTGCCCCTCAAGGATCAATTCTTGGACCATTGCTTTCTTGTTATATGTCAATGATATCCACAGATGCTCAAATAAATTTAGGTTTTACCTCTTTGCAAATAACACTAACATTTTGTATGCAGATAAAAATCTGAAAGATCTTGAGACAATAGTCAACAATTAGCTACAAAACCTTTATAACTGGTTGACAGCCAACAACTGAACTCTTAACAGTAAAAAAATCAAACTTTGTCGTTTTTCATCCTTACCAAAAGTGACTTGCTTGCCAACCAAAACTTTGCATTTTGATAATGAAAAGAATGAGTATGTTTTTCTTGAGTCTAAAGTTTACACAAAATACCTGGGTGTTCTTATTGATCAGAATCTCTGTTGGAAATACCACATTAATTCTATTGTTACAGATGTTGGTAAAAATGTTGGGCTACTTGTGAAGCTATGCCACTCTGTACCTGGACCAATATTACTGAATATCTATAAGTCACTAATACATCCTTATGTAACCTATGGTCTTGCTGCCTGGGGTCAGGCATGCAAAACTTATCTTAACAAAATTCTAATTCTTTTGAAAGGAACTCTTTGTTTGCTGTACATCGCAGACTGGCATGACCATGCAATTCCTTTGTTTCTCAAAGCTAACATGCTTCCAATAACTTTTCTTTATTATAAGTCTGTATCATCCTTAATGCACACTATCAATAATGATAAAGCCCCAGCAAACATGTTAAATTTATTTCAGAAAACGTCTGATATTCACTCGTTCAATACATGGTTGTCTACATCTGGAAAATTCTATTTTAAAATTTTAAGACTAGAAATATAAAACTATTCTGAAATTGGAAATTGTGTAATGGAACTTCACTAAATCAATGAGATTTTTCTTACTCTTCTTTGGAATTTACTAGTTTGTTGTCTCAACTTTGTCTTCTTGCTTACATTGAAACTTGTCATTGTTGTGCTCTATATTTATCTTTTTAAGTTCTTATCAAGACTCAATATTTATCATTTTTGGCTACAGCAGTTGATTTTTAAGGGACATAACATTGTAATGAAACTATAAAAAGTAGCCATTGAAAGTGTACATTTATGGTCTTTTTCTGCAGGTGCTCATCCCTAAAGAGTTCAGCTGATGCAATTTTGTACCAAACTACTGAGAGCAACATTTAGAAGAACAGAGTCAGTTCTGCTGTATTTTACAACATGTAGAGACAGAAACATCAAGACGTAAGCCAAGCTCTACAACCCAGGTATGGTGAATTTACATTATGTTTAAGCTGATGCCCAGATTCAGTTAGTTTAAGTGAAGTTCTCTGGCTTTGTCACGAGATGGTTATATTTTTGATATGTGTCTTTCATCTCCTTTGTGTTGACTTTTGTGATGTGTTGGAGGGCAGACTTGATATGAATGAGTTTCCAGTAGTCAGCTCCTTGTGTTTGTGCAAATATATTTGGGATTACCATGGGGCAAACATTGCAACTTGCTAGAAAGAATTGTTTGATGAAAGGTTGTTTCGAGGTCCAAAGGAACAATTTTGGAGAGAGACTCAGAAATCGATTTGGGTAATGTTGATTCTGGGGAAGCCTAAGTTTTGATCGTATCAAGCAGATATATGCAGTAAAATCTACTAATTTACTTTTCTCCATGTGGAAGGGTTATTGTGAAATTGACATTAGTTAATGGTCTTGAAATTTAAAAATATTAAGGACAAGTTTTGTTTACATGTGTTAAGACTAGTTCTAGCTTTTCTCTTGCTTGGCTTCATAGTACAAAAGAGTGCCATAATAGCCACCTTGAGGGAGCAGGAGATTGAAATGGTGCTTGAACATTAAATATTATTGTGATTCATTTTAGTGATAAAACACTTACATCACAACTTTGTTGTGATTGATGAGAATGAGCCAGCATTGATAATCAGCTCAAAACTGAACCCTTTCCTCTGCAATGATAAGTAGGTACAAATGGGTCACTCAAAGAGTGATGCACAACTGAATATATGTCCACAGTTTCTACCTGAATTTCTGTGATATTGCTTTTCCCAACAATATCCTGCAAAGAGTTTGAGGGAAAATGTGGCAGGTCAAAGATTTGTCATGGACTGATTTTAGCTATGTAGCTGAAAGATTTCTATCGATAACGAAAAAATTAATAGCTGACAATTTTGTTTACTGAAAATGCCATGCACTTGGATTTAAAATTTTTCCCTTTTTTATGATAAACACTGTGGGTCATACATGTATATGATAGGATGTATTATTTTCCTTAGAAGCTTATGTTTCTTTTCATCTGACTTTATTTTAGGAAAAAAGAAAAGAAAAAATCAGATCTACGAGTCTTCATTCATCATGTGTGATAAAGCTGCATGTGACATGCAAAGCAACTGCTCTCGTCTTTTTGAGATGTTTCCAAAATTTTTTTCCCATGACAAGATCAAGGATAAAGCCATTAGTATTAAAAATTTGACTCAAATCATTGGAGCACTTAAAAGCTGTGATGAAGGTCAAGCTTGTTTTAAAGCTGCCCAAATACATATCAAGCAAACTATGTCAGTGTCTTTAGAGGGTGCTGAAGCCTACTTTATCTTTCTATCTTCTCAAAGTGTTTCTCTTACTGAATTGAATGTTCTCTGGCTCTTAACTTCCCTTGCTTTTCGAACTGGAGAGACTGCTTGTTTGGAAGAAATAGCAAACAGCTGTGATGATTATCCTGTTGATGGTGATTTCATGAACAACTTGGGAGTGATGCTAACCCAGAGGATGAAGTGTGACCTTAGTGAGAAATGCTTTTTAGGTGCATTACATTACTTTCAGCATGAAGAGAATCATCTGGGCATTGCTGTTGTTACTGTCAACTTGGCATCCTTCCATGAGATCTGTGGAGACTTACAGAAAGCTCAGTCGTATTGTAATGATGCAGTTGAATTGTGCTTGAATATTGCAAGGACCCCACTAACTGATGTTCATCTCTTTTGGAAAGTAGTTTTTAGACTTAGTCTCTTTTGTGAAAAACTTTCAAACTTCAAAAGTTATCATAATATTCTGAGAGTTGCTGTGAAATTTGACATTGATTGCATTAGTGATGCTTTTGCAGTTAAATACATGAAGCAGCTGATGACTTTGCAAATGAAAGAACATGAGGGTGGACAGATTAAACAAGATGAATTGGAAGAACTTGCTTTGCTACTCTTTGCAGCAGATGCATTCCCAAAGACACTGCCACTAAATCCTGACTTCATAGAAACTGTTATGATGTTGGCAGAGATGAACTGCACTATCAAGTGCTCCAAAGAAGCTAGGCAGTTGATTGACAAGTTGGAGTCAACATTCCTGCATGTCTATGGTGGAAATTGCCCACTCTTTGGTTTCTTACAGTACAAAATTGGCCATTTCAAATTTAAGTATGGAGAGGCTAGTGAAGCACAGAGTAGTCTCATTAAAGCTGAGCAAATATTCATCAACTACTTTGGTAGAGAGCATCACATGGTTGGATCTTGCAAGAGTCTACAGGGTGCCTGTGCCTTGCAGAAAGGAAACCAAGAGGAGACCTGTCATTATCTAAAGGAGGCTCATAATATTTTTGAGAATATAAATCCCCACCACCCTGAAATAGGCAAAATCCTTTTGAAGTTTGCTGATCTGGAGAGTGAGGCTGGAAATTTTGAGAATGCCAAATTAACCATTGAAGAAGCACTGGGAATGTTCATATTGTCTTGTGGTAAGACCTCCCTGCAGACAGCCCTTGCTTATCTTCAAGGTGCATCTATTCTGCAAAGGAAAGGAAAATTCATGCAGTCAGCTTTGGACAAAGTGAAGAAAACCACAGACATCTTTATACTCCATGGCTTGCATCATGATGATCCAGATGTTGCCTTTTGTCGCTGTTTACAAGGCCAGTTACTGCACTCCCTGGGTCAAGTCAAAGAAGCTGAAGAGGAGTTTCTCTTTGTACATCATCAGCTATCATCACGGGATGACTTGTCTACGAAGACCAACATTATTGCCCCTGAACTTTATCGAATGTTCTATTTGGTAGACGCTGACGGTCTTGCCCTGAGAGATTCTCACTGTTCCCACTTTCTTTCACTTGTCAGTCTGGCTCATATGAAAACAGGAGATGAAAAAATGGGTCATATGAGAGAAATTTTCAGCTGTTTAGAAGAGTTAGACTCCAAGTTCCTGACAGTTTCAGATTATTTGGGCAAACATGTGCACTGTGCATTACACAGAATTTTGGAGGCTGATATCCAGGTTTCTTGGATTTTGATTCCTGATTCTGCTAAACTACTAGAGTTCTTCTCATCACCATACAGTGGTAAGGAAAGGAGGCCATTAAGAGATTATGAAGATGTTTACTTGATGTCATCATGCAGTAACAGTGAAAAGAAGCCACATTTTCTTCTCTTCTGGAAGACATCAGATGTCTTGGAAACTGGAGACTTAGGTTGTGTTACCTCTTCCTTCCGTGAAAGTGTTAAACTTCTGTGTCTACAGCCTAAGTTTAGAAAAACCTTTCATGAGAAACAAGAGTTTTTCATGAAGCTGCCAATTCAAGAGCAATCACCTGCTCTACCTTCCCTCTCTTCCCGAATTGACTCTCTTCCACTTCTAGTCGAGTTAGAGTTGTCAAAATTGCACAACCAGCGTGATAGCATTGTTAGTTCTCCCACTGCATCTCCTCTTTGGCCTTTGGCGCATGTGTCCTACATTTCCTATAGATTTTCTTCCTCCAGTAAGGCACTGCTTCTTTTTTACAAGTGTATTTCAAGTTTGGGTAGAACACTAGAATTGTCTGAGGTGCTCAGCATTTCAACTCCTGAGGTTCCATCAGCTTTACAGAGGAATTGTGCAGTCCACTTTACTTTTTTGAATCCTATCTGTGCCTCCTTGTCTCTGGCTGTTGAGGAAGAATCTGTTTATGTAAAGTGTCGAGCTGTAAAAGAAAGTGGGTCAACTTGTATTTGTTCCTCTGTGAGAAGTGCTTTGAAGAGCATCACAGAGTCTCTTGAGTCTGATTTTAGAGGATCAGTCTTTGAACAAAGTCTATGTTTACCATGTGTGGAGGATGGTGGTGGAAATTGTAAGAAGCCATCCAAATGTTATTGTCACTGTAAGGACTTTCAAGATGAATCTTCCTGCAATTCTGACCAAAAGTTGGCTTTACATGAACAAACCAATTGGGAACCAGATTCTGATGTGCTTAAGATAGGAACATCTGTTGACCTGTCACAGACTGAGGTAATTAAAATTGTTACTTTGTGATTTAAATCATTAAAACAAGTAAGCTCACAGGCTAAAAATTCTCCAGGGCCAGGTTGTTCAAAGCTAGGTTAAGATAATCCAGGGTTAGTGTGAATTCTGATTTCAGATCTGATAGCATTAAAAGAAAATTCAGTTGAATTCTTTTTGTCTAGAATATGATTATTTGATGCTCTATAAAGAACACGGGAAACTATCCCAAAAAGGCATTTGAATAAATGAATAAAGAAATCCAGATTAAAATTTAACCTTGGGTTAGCACTAATCAACCTTTGAACAACTGGGCCCAGATAAATATTTGTTTTGGCATGATGTAAATGTATACATAATTGTACATGGTGTAATCTTGTTTCTTTCTCTTTCTGCCTTTGAAGAAGGCAGAGGAGGGGGCTATTTGGTTAAGTAGTCAAAAATTTTTTGTTCTCATTATTTTGAGAAATTCTGTCATTTTTACTCAAACAGTGTACTAGTAGTGGTTGAAGTGAAATCTTACAACCACTGTTTCAAGATATTTTTGAGTCAGCATATCTCATCCATCACTCTGAACAATTCCCCAAGATGAACTGGTAGAATTGCAAAAGATGGTGAATTTTCCAAGATGTTTAGACCATTTATCATGCAAAGTTTTTGTCATTTGCACTGCCATGAGTTTCCTGTGTGATTGATAAAGAGGGTAATTAAAATGTTAGTAAGTTTAGGGTTAAAATGAAGGAATGTATTGGACTCTGGATCAAGTATTCCAGATTCAAGCTTTTGCTGGAGTCACTGGGCTTTGTTGTTGGTCACTCTTTAACCCTTTAACTCCCAAGATCTGATTGGAAATTCTGCCCTCTGTAGCTGCTACACATTTCCTTGTGAATAAGTTACGAGAATTTGGTATTAGATCAAGATAACAACTTCTACCTGATACATTTGAGTATGCTCATTACCTGTTTGCTGGATAATGAATGGATATTGTAGAGAGAAGTTACTTGTAAATCATGTGTTAAAGACATAAAAGTCATTGATTAAGAGTTCACAAAGGGTAGAATTTCAAGTATAAAATAAGTCCATTTTCAGCAGGATCTTGTTTATTGAAATTGTTGTCTTTTCTGTGATATAACAAAAAGAAAGTGCAAGTATCATTGTAGATTTACCCAAACTGGGAGATGCTGTGGTGAAATTAAGTACAAAAAGATTAATATGATGATGACTTAATGTATTATTTTTATTTGCTTTGAATTGACTATGGTTTGTTTATTTTATAGGATACTAAAAGCTCATCATTCACTGTCCTCTCTGAAGACAAGATTGTGACTGATGTTTGTGTAAACCTTTTGGAGTGTATTTTGAGAAACGGAAAGTTATCTTTAGCAGTACAACTTTCTGGCATAAACAATGGATTATATACTACTGATGGTACAGAAGAACATGTTAACTCTCTTTTAACTCCTGTCTCAACAAATGAAAAACCGGAGTTTATGCAGAAAGCTTTGCCATCTGTGGAGAATGTCCATGGGGAAACATATTCAGGAAAAGAGACAGGTAATATCTCAGACACATCATCAACTTCACAGGCAATCTTTGTCAGCAGTCACTACCATGAGAGTGCAGCAGTGAAGTCAAATTGTGAGGAGGGTTTAATTGCAGAGTATCATCCTAGCTCAGAAACCAAAGACAATTTGCCACTCAATGAAATTCCTCAAGAGACTTACAGTGTTCAAAGCATTGAAGCATGCTCTAACAAAGAGGAGTTGAGGGAGAATCACAGAATTGAATTTGATCCTAGTCCTGAACTTCCATTGGCCGCAGAGAATGGCAAAGGCACCATTACCAATGGTAACCTGATCTGTGAATTGCAAGATGAAGTTGTGTTCTACCAGGATCAATGCCATGAACTAAGAGAAGAATTAATAAAATTGAAAGAGAAGTTGAAGCTCTGCGAAGAGGAGAAACAAGGTCTTCAAGCTGAAGTAGGAAGACAGTTATTTTTGGAAAGCAAAGAAAGACGTTGCAGCAAAAAGGTTTATCAACCCCCCAGCAAACATGCCAGTGGAAGGAGTAAGCCTGTTGGAGTTAGAGGTGCATCCCATGACTTTTCAGGTACGGATGCTAAGCTGCTTGGTGGTGTAAATCCTTTAGACAAAGCGGGTAAATACTTTTTTCAAATGGATACTGTGGCTATTTTGCTCCAGATATGATTCATATAGACTGTATGTTACTTCTACTACAAATTTGCACTATTGATGTACATTACTTATCATATCCAAAAGATGATCACCAGAAAGCATGCTGGATTGGTAAAGGTTATGACTTTCTGTCTTCATCTCTCAATAATGCACCTCAAAAGGTAGATGTTGTACAATCTGGAACCTTGTCATATAGCCATTAATCAGTATATCAAACTACAACAGTACTGAAACTTGGTACTGTACCTTTATTTATAAATTCCACTACAAAAAAAAGGCTCTCAAAATTTGACGTTTCTTGGGATAAGTATTGATGCATGCATCATAGTATTCTAAGAGTTACCCCACATTTATCTTGTTTGCATTTTTTTTTGCAGGTTTCTCGATTCAACAAAGACTTCAGGAGATCTCACTTTCCCTATCAGAATTGGAACTAAGCAGAATGAAGAAGCTTGTTCAACCCATATTGGATGGCTTTAGACTTGCCAGGATCAGGGAGTGCTCAGAGTTGTTTGAGGAATTAGAAAGAAGAGGGGAGTTTTCCTGTTCCTTTGTTAGAGATCTTCTAGAAAGAATCCATCGTTTTGATCTTGTAGAGAAACTTGTTGAACCTTTTCATAATGGTGAAGAATCATCTAAAAGGGAATATTGTTCACCTCAAGAGAGCAAACAACTGGATGACATGTCTGAAAGTGTTTCTGGTGTCAATAGTAAACAATGTGATGAAGTGGAAGAAGGGAAAGAAATATTTGACAACACTGAAGTTGATGAAGAGGTCAAAGTTTGCAACAATTCCAACATAAACTCATTTAACAGTGATAGTGAGGGAGCTGCTCTCACTTTTCATACAGAGAATGCAAGTGGCTCAAATTTTTTTGGTGATGTGGATCTGTCAGAAGAGAGATATGATTCAGCCTCAAGCTTGTCTCAGTCATTTGATGTACCAAGTATTGGATTGGACTCTCGAGAGAGGTCTTGGTCACCTTCATCTACAGGTGAACAATCTGAAAGTGAAAAGCTGAAAGGAGCATGTGCTGCAAATGGCAAAAGGGACAAAGAAGTTACACATGATTTCTCTTTTCCTGATGGTGCAGAGACACAGTTTTATTCTCATCATCACTTAAATGACAATGTAGATGGTGCAGTTAATTTACCAGATAGAGCCCAAGATAGTTTAAAGCAAGAAGACTTAACTAGTGTGAATCAAGATTCACTTCCTAACAAAGACTCACCACAGAGGCAGAGTGTTTCAGGTGCAAGGTTCACTGCTCAAAAGGACACAGCCACAGATCAGTCTGACTCTCATGTGAGCAATCAGTCAAAGAAATGGGAGCACTTAGGGGCCAGGCCAAGAGACAGACCTCTTAAAACAGACAGATGTCCAGAACCTTCTTTGCTAAACTCATTGGAAGACTTGGTCCCTCAACAAGTTGCTGGACCTGTGGCTCATGGAGTGGCCAACACATTCTTAGAAAGACACTCAGAAGACAAACATCTTCATGAAAGTTTATATTACACTAATGCTGAGAAGATGTTGACTGAGAATTCTTCATTGCAAGGAGCTTCTCATTTAGACAGTGTGATAAACTTGACTGACTCAAATAAAGCTAAACTGTACTTTGGTGAATGTCAAGTTCCTTTCAGGCCAGATCCATATTCTCAAACATATGCGTCATTGTTCCCTCAGACTAGTGGAGCATTTATTGGAGGAAATAATAGTTCAAACACTGGCTTCAACTTATTGAATCCTAATGTAGCCAACAACTTTGTGCCTCTTACAGGACTGCAAGATGGGACTTTTCCACCTTTGCAAAGAGATGAACGTTTTCATTCTGGGTTCACTGGTTCAGGATTGACCTCTGATTTCATGCAGCCCACAGGATCTCAAATAGGTGCCTCAAACACATTGAATTCCAATTTATCAATAAATGACTATGCTCTTGGTACAAGAGAGCCTCAAATACCACCAGATGGGCATTTTACAAGTTTGCCAATTAATCCACCAATTCACTCAGGGTTCAATGGTTCAGGCTTCACTTCTGACTTGACAGGGTCCACAAGGCCTGAAATGACACATTCTGCAACTGGTACACATAGAAACAGTGACTTTGGTGGCAGTGCATCAATGTTACCTTCAACAAGAAATTCTGGATTATTAGTAAGTTCATCAGTTAACAAGCAAACCTATGGTTTCCCTCCAGATGCTTCCCCAACTTCATCTTCAGGAGCAAGGGTTAATGGATCTGACAGCAGGCTTTTTTCAGATTCAGAGTCAAGTAGAGTTAGTCAGTTATTGCCAGTCACAACAGGCAGGGATGGTTTGAATACATCTGAAGAGGTTAACTCTAGTAGCAATGCAATGAATGCATCTGGTGATCATTTGGCTTCTGGACACTATAGAGAAGGAAGCAGGGCCTATAATTCTTCAAGCTCTCACATGATATCTGGTACTGATACAGGGGAGAGTCAATCTGGCGAAACTGAAGATTCAGTCACAAACAGAAACTATGGTACAGAGTCAGTGGAGTCTACAGATAACTCCCTGCTTGAATTGGAACAGCGTGTTGAAGAAGCTTGTGCAATGGTGGAAAGAGTGCTTAGGGAGAGAGAAGAAAGAGAAGAGTTTGGTCGGGAAATTGAAAGAAAAGAGCGTGAAATTCGAGCAGAAAGAGCACGAAAGAAGAGAGAAAGAGAAGCAAGGGAGCTAGAGGAAGCCAGAGGATGGCCTCAACAGCAGGAACCAGTTACTGGACAATCTTTATGGCTTTGTGAGCATTACCAACGTCATTGTAGAGTACGCTTCCCTTGCTGTAACAACTTCTATTCATGCCACCGTTGCCATAACAATTCCAAAGAATGTGAGAATGAGGAAGCTAAAGCAAGTCATGCAACTCACCTTAAATGCAGCTATTGTCATCATGAACAAGAGGTGATGAAAGGTTTTTAGTTATGTTGTAAATTACAGTTATAAGAATTGCCATATTTTTTTATTGGGAGTGGTAGAAAACGTATAGGAGGAGATTCATGTCCTTCTTTCCAGTAACTTTTGTTAACTGTTTTGGTGAGTTATTAATTACAATACATTCTCCACTGTTGCAAACTCACTTTGCATGTGTATGCACAATTTTAGTTTCCATTTAAATAAAAATTAAGCAAAACAAACCTCACTGCAAAGTCAGATACCAAAATGTTTTCTCCTTTCCATGGCAACTACACTGGCCACAGGTTGGAGTGCTGTTCTCTCTGATGAATGAGACAATCTATGTTTAGAACTTTGTGATCATAATTCCCACTAACTTAGAATGTGAGACTTACAATTTTCCAAATCATTTCCTTTCAGATTGGTGAAGACAGTGGCAAGTGTCGTAGCTGTGGAGCAAAGATGTCAGCATACTTCTGTGCTATTTGTAAACACTTTACCAGCATTGACAAAAATCCATATCATTGTGAAAAATGTGGAATATGCCGGTAACTGACCTGACAACGTTTTAAGTTAATATAAAACTTTGCTGTTGTGTTTTTCACAACTTTTTATGTTTTGAAGCCACATGAGCTTTTTTGAGGCTCAAAGTTTCACTTTTCTCGTTAGTCATCTTTTTGGCAACCTACATGTGTAGAATCGTAGAATGGTCACCAGAAAGTATTGGTATTATAATAAGATAAGCATTGGTCTTATTATGTCATGTTTCCTTGTAGCATACATAAAGACAAATCGTTCCACTGTGATGTATGCAATGTCTGTCTTGACAAACGGCTTCAAGGAAAGCACAAGTGTAGGCCAGACTCTGGCCATGATGAATGCTGTATCTGTTTAGAGGTGAGCTGGTAAACTTCAAAATACTCAACCACTGGTTTCTTAATCATTTTTATTATTATTGTTACTATTATTGATATATTTTTAACAATTTTCCTTTCCACTTATTTTCCCATGAGTAAATTATCCCACTCTGTAAGTGTAACACTGTGTTCTTTCCAAACTGATGTATTGAAAATCACTTTCACACATGCTGTGTTCTGTGACCACTTAAAATTATACCTTCTGACATTTTGTCATTTTTTTGTGAGAAGAAATATAAATGTAACACCTAAGATCCTGACATACTTTGAACAACTTTTCTAGCCCACTTCATGTATATATACTATAAAACTTGTTTATACTTTACTTTTATCCCTTATTTCTGGACTATCTTTTAACACTGATTCAATCATAACTTCAGCATAATAACTTTTCATTTTTGTGTTACTTATAGGATGCTTTCAGTGGATGTCAGATTTTACCCTGCTCACACAAGGTTCATCGAGAATGTGCAATAGCTATGATACAGAATGGAATGTAAGCACTTAATTCTTCAATATTCCTTCTCCACTTCTTTGCCTTGTTTGTTTATTTGTATGTTGTTGTGCTAGACTACACAGTTTTCCCTTCATAGTCATCATTTTTCCAGAGAAAGCAAATAGTAGAACCAAAGTTGAAAACTCTTATAAGTAACTACCTCTGATACACTACTGTGACCAGACTATTTGTTGTCATTGGAAATTCTCAGAACTTCTGAGATTACCCTCCTTTTGAGTTACCACTTAAGGTGGGTAACTAGCCCTTGCATTACACTTGGTTGTAATAAGGCTTCTCTGGCTTATGGATGCTCTTCTGTGTTCTTGCAAATGAGGAAACCATTCCACAACTTGCTCTCTTGCATGTAGGGAATCAGGTTTCTGCTGTGTGTCATGTAACTTGTTAGTTAACTACAAGCAGCCAAAAAAAACTATATGTATGTCAGTGATTAGTAATTGTATGTTTCATATTTTTTTTGTTTTAGTCGCACATGCCCAGTGTGCAGACACCCATTATACAGCCCAGCTCCTGAGTGAAAATTGCTACATTTTATGATGGTGACAATCAGCTGCATGTCATTCAAAAGAAGAAGCACTTTTAAGGGAGATGAAAAATTTTGGCAATTCTAATGTTAAAGTTTATATTTGTACATTGTTTGAGTTAAGGCTATTACTTTGCCATATTGGCAAAATGGATTTCAGTTAGGTTTTGGTAAAATACATGTTCTTTGAATGCTAAATATTTCTGATAAGGGAACAATTTTGTCTGGCTTTGAAAAAAATTAAGACCATGCTTCTAAAATGGAAAAAAAGGCACATAATAGTTAAATAATTATCTTATTTATTGAAGTTCTGGCTTGTTGCTTGAAATTTATCTTTGCATAGTAAGAAGAAGAATTTATAAGAATTTTGTATTCACATTATATTTTGTTATCAGTTTTATATATGTTTAATTAAATATGAATATCATAAACTAAGTTGTTCTGGCTTTTATTTGGAGCGGATTTTTTAAATTGCCATCTACTTCTTCAGTTTGTGTGTGTTTTCTAAAGTCTTCACTCAGATTAGTATCAATAGTTTTGTTTACAAATTTTTCCATATTTGGAACCGGCCCCAAGTATACCCCCCACACACCCCCTTGCCCCCGCACCCTCATGATTTTATAGTGTCTGTAAAGAAGCTTTTCTCGAAAGTCATAAAGTCCACCCAAACTGCTAGTTCGGAAAGAAAAGGAAAAGAAAAAGAGAAAACCCTACCCTTTAAGTTTTACTGTAATTTCCCCCGTAAATTTCATCGCTGCTCTACAGACAAAGGCTATCTTGTATTTTTACTCTTACGTCATCCCTATTGATCCCAGTCGTCGGCAGGAAGTGAAATGGACGGCGTAGAGACGTATACGGGCTCAGAGGTTTCGCTTTATACGGGCTTGGAGGACAAAGATACAGGTTGAATTAAAACTGTTCAAATAGGTCTGATTAAACTGTAATGCATGTTAACTGTACGTAATTCGTCAGCAGCTTGAGGCATCAGAAGTTCCGACAAGGAGGACAAGGTCCAAGTTGCATGGCACACGGTAAGCGAAGAAGCCACGTTCTTCTTGCTTTTTCGTTCCATATTGTGAGAAAGGCATTTGATGGCAAAATGTCGACCAAATATTGTTTCAATCTCGGCATAAAGGATTTTGTTGTCGGAAAAAGAAGGAAGATTGTCCAAACACGGGTTCGATATATTTGTAAGCATCATACCGAAAATTGCAATTGATTTGTAGTGGACTTTGTTCAGGCGAAAGTGTGATCTAACTTCGGCGACAAAGTTAATATCTATTATCTGTTAATCCATACAGATTACGACCTAACTTATTCTCGAGAAACCGTGTGACATTCATTCGTCAATCTTAACCTCGTATTGACATGCTTAAGCGCTCGTATATATTTTTTTAAATCCAAGTTTTCGCTGAGTTTTTCTGGACTAAGCGCTAATAGCTTAAAGACATCTGAGGGAAGGAGAAAGCTATCCAATTAACGTACTGAAAGTTAATTTACCTGCTCGAAAAAGGACCTCTGTTGTCATTATTCGTGAATGTCTCCTTAAGATCCACTGATGAGGATCTATATATATTTCATTAAGTGTAAATTAAACGTTTCCGAAAGTAGTTTGCTTACCGGTAATCAGATTTGAGACACCAGCAGATGTTAGAACGCTTTGAATAAGTATACTTGATCACGAGATAGTAGTGATGTCTTTATATAGCATATTGAAAACCAGATCAAAACAAAGCCCTGAGAAATGTAATTTGATATTTGGTAAATCAATTTTTGTATTCTGTTATCTCCATTTAAGTCATTTTTGTACAGCAATAATAGTGATATTGAATTCTGATACACACCTGAAATATACAGATTGGTACAGCTCTCAATTTATCTTTACATTACCAGTTCAAAATAATGTGTTACCTACTATAAACAGTTCATTAGTTTCACAATCTTTGAGAATTATAGTAAATGAGGATTGTACATGTGAAATGTGAAAACTTATTAGGCAGAATATGTTTTACTCAACTCATGTTTTATTCAATGATGTTTTATTCAATTGATGTCGTTGATTCCTTAGATGGCATCTAATGTTGAAGAGGAGGGAAAACAATATGCAAGTGCTGGTAGAGAGGAGTCCTCTGAAGAACATGGAGAGCCAACAGCACTGTACAATGTTAGCACAGCTATTCAGAAAGATGCTTTGGAAGCTATGGACATGTTGCAATTGGAGATACAAAGAGTTAAGGAGGAGAATGAAATATTTAAGGAGTTTTTCAGTAAGATTATGGAATGTGGTGGAGATGAATATCGTCAAATGATAGAGAGAGGAGGTTGGTGATGATTCATTCAACATGATTATATAACATAGTGTTTGGTGTTCTTAATTGAAATATTAATATGGATACCTTTTGATATATGTGTCCTGTAAATTTTTACAGTGGCTCTCAAAAGTATTTATGAGTAAACCCCCTTCACCCTTCAGAGTGAAGGAGAAAGGAACCTGGTTAATTTCTCACAAGAGATTTACCAGTTCAGCTTATGTTTTAATAAGGCTTCTGTTTTTGGTGTCAATTTTTAGGTTAAAGTGATGTAACCATTACATCACCATCTCTGATGGAAGGCAGATATATTCTAATTTTAGGCCTAATACTGCAGGATCTTTGTAAAATGTCTTTTGTTCTTTACCTCATTATGGAAATAATAATGCCTGACCTTTTGAAATGACTAAACTTTTCGTTTATACATTTTTGCCATTATTCAGTGTCTAATGTGTCATTTTACTAAATACATTGGATTAATTCTGATAGATTTAAACAAAAACAGGCTATTTGAAAGGAACTATATGGGGTTATCAATGGAAAGGCACTAAGTCTCACTTGAAAGATCTCCTTTTTCCTAATTGCTTGATATTATATCATGAAGTAGCTCTTTGCCAAGATGGATATCAGAGCTTGCCTAAACTTTTGAATCTTTTGCTATTTGGCAATCTTTTTCCTGGTGATTTCTTTTCTGTTTACTTCTTTTTCAGGCAAAGTAGGTAGATGGATAGTTATGCTATGATTGCATCCAAATCTGAAAATTTCTTTTCTAGTTTTAAACATCACTGTAAATCAGTTGTGAGAGTTAGTGTTATACTGCAGCTGATCAGGTCATCTTTTTGTGTGTATAATGTGTGGAAGGAATCAATCATTTTGATGTATTTCTTATGCAGGTTTGAATGAACTTCAACATACAATACAGGAGACCATAAATCGATCTAGTAAAGCTGAAAGAGGGTATGGCCAAAGCACCACCGTCAATAGCAATCATACTCATGAATTGCGAGATGAAGTTGAATGCCACAAGGATCAGTGCCGTGAACAAAGAGAAGAACGACAAGTTACTGGACATATGGCTTATGGAGTGACCAACGCATTCTTAGAAAGACACTCAGAAGATACAAACCTTAGTAACTGTTCATATTACACTAATGCTGAGATGTTGACTAAGAATTCTTCATTACAAGGAGCTTCTCTTGTAGGCCGCTCGGTAAACTTGACCTACTCAAGTAAAGTTCAACCGTACTTTGTTGAATGTCAAGTTCCTCTCGGGCCAGATCCATATTCTCTAACATATGTGTCGTTGTTCCCTCAGACTAGTGGATCATGCATTGGAGGAAATAATGGTTCAAGCACTGGTCTCAACTTATTCAGGGAGCGTCAATCTGGTGAAACTGAAGATTCAGTCACAAACAGAAACTATGGCACAGAATCAGAAGAAGCTTGTGCAATGGTGGAAAGGGTGCCTAGGGAGAGAGAAGAAAGAGAAGAGTTTGGTCGTGAAATTGAAAGAAAAGAGCGTGAAATTCGAGCAGAAAGAGCACGAAAGAAGAGAGAAAGAGAAGCAAGGGAGCTAAGAGGACCGCCTCAACAGCAAGAACCAGTTACTGGACAATCTTTGTGGCTTTGTGAGCATTTCCAACGTCATTGTAGAGTACGTTTCCCTTGCTGTAACAACTTCTATTCATGCCACCGTTGCCATAACAATTCCAAAGAATGTGAGAATGAGGAAGCTAAAGGAAGTCATGCAACTCACCTTAAATGCAGCTACTGTCATCATGAACAAGAGGTGATGAAAGGTTTTTAGTTATGTTGTAAATTACAGTTATAAGAATTGCCATATTTTTTTATTGGGATTGGTAGAAAACGTATAGGAGGAGATTCATGTCCTTCTTTCCAGTAACTTTTGTTAACTGTTTTGGTGAGTTATTAATTACAATACATTCTCCACTGTTGCAAACTCACTTTGCATGTGTATGCACAATTTTAGTTTCCATTTAAATAAAAATTAAGCAAAACAAACCTCACTGCAAAGTCAGATACCAAAATGTTATCTCCTTTCCATGGCAACTACACTGGCCACAGGTTGGAGTGCTGTTCTCCCTGATGAATGAGACAATCTATGTTAAGAACTTTGTGATCATAATTCCCACTAACTTAGAATGTGAGACTTATGATTTTCCAAATCATTTCCTTTCAGATTGGTGAAGACAGTGGCAGGTGTCGTAGCTGTGGAGCAAAGATGTCATCATACTTCTGCGCTATTTGTAAACACTTCTCCAGCATTGACAAAAATCCATATCATTGTGAAAAATGTGGAATATGCCGGTAACTGACCTGACAAAGTTCTCAGTTAATAAAAAACTTTACTGTTGTGTTTTCCGCACCTTTTTATGTTTTGAAGCTACATAAGCATTTTGAAGGGCTCAAAGTGTAACTTTTGTAGTAAGTCATCTTTTTGGCAACCTACATGTGTAGAATCATAGAATGGTCACCAGAAAGTAAACCTTAAACAGCTCACATTTTGCCTAAATAATCTTTTTTTTTCCTCAATCCTACCTTGTAGCCAGCTTTACAAATTTAATTTTTCTACCACTTAAAGCAAGGCATTGGTCTTATTATGCTATGTTTCCTTGTAGCGTACATAAAGACAAATCATTCCACTGTGATGTATGCAATTTCTGTCTTTACAAACCCCTTCAAGGAAAGCACAAGTGCAGGCCAAACGCAGGCCATGATGATTGTTGTATCTGTTTCGAGGTGAGCTGCTAAACTTCAAAATACTTAACCACTGGTTTCTTAATCATTGTTATTATCCTTAAGTATGCCTAGGCATGATTAAGTTAAGTCGGGCAGGCTAGCTGTGACCGAGAAAACAAAACCTATAAATATATATTTACACATCTAGAACTATATATCTAATTTGTTTATATGCATTAAAAAATTAGTGTTCATAACTGTTCGCTTTTGTCCATCAAAAAAAAAAAAAAAAGAGAAAAAAGAGAAAAAAAAAATTTTTTTGAAATTCTTGAAATATTAAAAGATATAAAAAATGTCTATATTTAAGTAATTAGCTAATAAGACTTTTCATAAAATATTATAAAACTTGATTAATATTATATGTTTTTACAAGGATTTGTTTGTTGAAATGAACTATTATGAAAGTACTTTAAATGATCTGGTAATGTTCAGTGTACTTGATATTACTGCCTTTTGCATGTTAAATAAGGTCTTGTCAGCTTTTGTCTTGCCAAGAAGTAGTATAACATTCTCTCTCTGACGAATATCCTCCTAAAACGTCTATAATGATGTTATATTGCTTGATGGTGTAGCCCTTGTGCTGTTGTTTGAGTTCCCATCTTAAGGGTGCATATTTGGTGGTCTTTTCTTGATTCTTCTGCTTCCTGTTTTCTATCCAGGGGCAACTCATCTCTATGATCTTTACTGTTTCTGTCTCCTTTTCAACTATCCTGACATCTATTCGGTTGACTCTTACTTCCGTATTTTCTGCAAATACTGGTACATCCCAGAATGCGCTTGCTTTGGTGTTGTGGTACTCAGGTTTCGGTGTTGTTGGTGAGTACCATGGTGGGACGCTTTCAATAAGATCAAGGTCATCAAGAAGCTCAAAGAATAAAATTTTAAGAGCTCCATTATGCCTTGCTATTATTATGCTTGCTTGCTTATTATTATTATTATTATTATTATTATTATTATTATTGTTACTATAATAGTTTTAACAATTTTCCTTTCCACTTCTTTTCCCATGAGTAAATTATCCCACTTTATTTGTGTAACACTGTGTTCTTTCCAAAGTAACGTATCAAAAAACCCCTCCTACATAAGCTGTGTTCTCTGACTACTTTTACACCTTCTGACATTTTGTCGTTTTTTTGCCAGAAGTCGTATAAATGTAACAGTTACTTACGATTCTGGCAAACTTTTGTACAATTTTTCTAGCCCACTACATGTACATATACAAGAAAACATATCCCTTATTTCAAGACTCTGTAATATCTCTGTTTCAACCTTAACTTCAGCATACAACTTTTTATTTTTGGTTTACTTGTAGAATACTTTTGAGGGATGTCAGATTTTACCCTGCTTCCACTTGATTCATGACAATTGTTTAGAAGCCTTAATGCAGAATGGAAGGTAAGCACTTCTTCAATATTCCTTCTTCACTTCTTTGTCTTTTTTGTTTATTTGTATGTTGTTGTTCTAGACTACACAGTTTCTACTTGATAGTCATCACTTTCCCAGAGAAAACAAAATGTATTATTTAAGTTGAAAACTCTTATAAGTAACTACCTCTGATACACTACTGCGACCAGACTATTTGTTGTAATTGGAAATTCTCAGAACTTCTGGGGTTAACCTCCTTTTGAGTGACCACTTAAGGTGGATAACTAGCCTTGCATTTTTTATGTTTAATTTTTTCCTCAGAAAGTAGCAAATGGTCCTCTACCTGGTTGTAATAAGGCTTGTCTGGCTTATGGATACTTTTCTGTGTTATTGCAAATGAGGAAACGATTACACAAGTTTCTCCCTTGCATGAAGGGAATCAGGTTTCTGCTGTGTCGTATAACTTGTTAGTTAACTACAAGTAGCCAAATAAATCCATATGTATGTTAATGATTAGTAATTGTATGTTTCTTGTGTTTCTTGTTTTAGTGACACATGCCCATTGTGCAGACACCCATTACACAGCCCAGCTCCTGATTGAAAATTGCTGCACTTTACAATGACGACAATCAGAAGAAACATGTTTTAGGGAGATGAAAAGCAAAGTAGTAGTAGCAAAGTAGCAAATTGCTATACTGTACATTGTTTGATTTAAGGCCAAGACTTTACTGCATTTTGCATGGCATGAAGAATAATGGGCAGTCAGCTAGGCTATGGTAAAATACATGTTCTTTGAATGCTAAATATTTCTGACAAGGAAATAATTTTGTCTGGCTTTGAAAAAATTAAGACCGTGCTCTTAAAATGGACAAAAAGGTACATACCATAATAATTAAAAAGTTATCTCGTTTATTGAAGTCCTTGTTTGTTGCTTGAACTTTATCTAATAATAATTTAATAATAATTATAATTACACTTATATAGCGCTATATATATATCACTCTATAGTGCTTCACAATCTTGAAAAAAGAAAATCAAAGAAATACATAAATAAAAAATAGGTATTTACAAAGTTAAAAATGTTAAATGTAAAGAAAAGAGGAATAAACAAGTAAATGAATAAATAAAAAAAACAAAACAAAACAAAAACAAAACAAAAATGCACATTATGTATATAACTACTACAAGTAGGCCTCTTTAAATAAAAATGTCTTAAGCAATTTCTTTGAAGTGTTGATGTTCGTGCATGTCTTCAGTTCTTTCGGTAAGGTATTCCATAGTTTAGGTCCCCCATAGCCCACTGATCTTTCTCCAAAGGACTTATGCTTGATGGCGGGGATCATCAAGTCGTTGTTGCCATCAGCCCTTGTTCTTTTCAAGAAAGAAAAAAAAAAAAAAAGAGAAAGAAAAAGAACTGGAGTTATGTGTTCATATGAAACGTGCAGAGAGATTCTGAACCCTTGTGAGGTGCTCTATCGTTGACTCTGGCAGACCACAAAGAATTGCATTGCAATAATCAAGTTTAGATGTAATCATTGTATAAACCATTGCCTGAGCTGCAGTCTCATTAATACAGCGTCTGATCTTGAACATATTTTTCAGCGTGTAGAAGCATTTCTTTGCGACATTTCGAACATGTTACTTTAAGGTTACGTCACTGTCAAAGTTAACACCCAGAAGGCGAACACACTTGGTGACATCAACTTCCTTGTTACCAACAGTTAGTGATTGTAGTTCTATCAGATTACGTCGAGGTCCACCTGCCATTATTTCAGTTTTACTGTCGTTTAACTTTAACATGTTGGTTGACATATATTGTTTGACCTCAGCAAGAAGAGTTTCCATCTTGTACTTCGTCAGAGAAATATTATCCCTCGAAAACGCGATGTAAAGTTGGCAGTCATCTGCATAAGCATGGAACGTAATACCATGACTACGAGCGATATCACGAAGTGGGACCAAATACATTATGAACAGTTTTGGGCCTAAGACTGATCCTTGGGGCACCCCAAAGTTTAAGGCCTTAGAATCAGAGAGTATTCCGTCAATGGCGACCCTCAACTTCCTTCCATCTAGATAGGGTTGATCCAGTGAAGGCATCTACCAGTAATTCCAAAACGATGTGCTAGTCTTGCTAGTAGTATCTTATGGTCGATCGTATCGAAAGCAACAGATAAATCCAATGATATAAACAGAACACGCTCGTTACGATCGAGTGACAACGTCATGTCATTGTATATCTTGCACAATGCCGTCTCTGTAGAGTGGCTTGCTCGATAGGCAGATTGCATAGTAAGAAGAAGAATTTAGAAGAATTTAGTAGTCATATTGTATTTTGTTATCAGTTTTATATATGGGCAATTAAATATAAATATCACTAATTAAGTTGTTCCGGTTTTTTATTTGGAGTGGATTTGTTAAATTGCCATCTACTTCTTCAGCTTGTATGTGCTTTCTAAAATCTTCACTCAAATTAGTATCAATAGTTTTGTTTACAAATTTTTGTCGTCGTATTGTAACCGCCCCCAAGTATACCCTCCACACACCCTCTTGCCCCACCTCCTCATGATTTTATAGTGTCTATGAAGAGGCTTTTCTCGAAAGTCGTGAAGTCCACCTAAACTGATACTTCGGAAAGAAAGGAAAAAGAAAAGGGGAAAACTTATGCTGCCTGTCAGGATCGAGAATTGTCCGTCAACGACCATTTTGGTGAATTGCTCATATTTTGCTCAAAGATACCCTTTGATAAACTATTTTCAAAAATCATGTTTTTAAGTTTCAGCGATTATTAAATTTTCATAAATTTGCGAAAATCTGAAAACGCGGTTTTCAGGCTTCCGGAGCTCAGGCTCCGCATGACGCACAGTCAAAAATTAACTGCAAAAACCAAGCCCCGTTTAAGGATGAAAATGGAATCAATCAACACCAAACTTCACACGATATTAGGACAGCTATTCTCATTCAATTCTAGTGAGTGACTTTTTTTGGGCACATCGATTTTGGGATTACTTAAGCCCTTGAAAGAACATCCTCACAGACCGCGTAAAATGGCAGCGAAAAACGGGTGATATTTCACGCGAAAAAAATGTACCTGGTACCACATATTTTAGATTTTCAACAACATATTCGTGAAATATTGCTATTTTCCATTCACTGTGGAAAGTGTGATGCTCGGAATCGCATTGCTTCCCTTCGAAAATGGCAGAAGTGTTTGTGACTTGAGCGAGCAAAATGATGCAAAGTGTGTAAACAAACAACAAGGTGATTTAATCATATCGAGTTGTTAAATCTCCGAATTAAATCCGGCCTCTGTTGTATCGGTTTGTAGCCCGGAAAATGTAAAGTGACAAGTAAATTATTCCGTAAGATATTTGAAAAGGTTCTACAAAATATTTTTTGGCTAAAAATCTGCAAGTGAAGTACATACTACATTAGCACCAACTCACATTCACATTCGAGAGAAGCTACTTAGTAGATTAGTACTTGATTCCATGCTGATAAATTAGATATTTTTTTATCTTTTACTTTGAGAACTCATTTTCTGTAGGTTTAAATACATGGAAAGGCGACTTTTGACCTTCAAAGTAATTAAATACAAGGCGACAGTTCTTGTTATCCTGGTGACGCCATTGGAAACGTGTCGGGGGTGCTGAAACATACCCGCGTAGAAACCGCAAATGAAATAATTATGTCGTTAAATTATAGAAAGAAATCCCGCATTTCAAAATGAGCGGAAAGAAATGTAGGTTGAATACTCTCACGTCTGTCAGTTTGCATGTGTCGGCTACCAGATGAGTAAACTTCATTACCGATGTGAAGACCAGAAAAGGAACGTGAGGGTCAATATTGGCATGATTAAAAGAAAAACAGAACAAAACGAAAGAACTTCTAATTACTCTACGAGCTTTAAAAATGAGATAACTAGTAACTGACGATTAGGAACGAGTCACCGTTAATTCGTTTCTTCCTCACTTTTCTATTCTGCTAAACTATAGAGAAAGTCAGCACCACGATGACTTTTGGCAAGTACATTTGCTGACAATCTCTTTCAGTAGAGCCAAGTACGGGGCCTTTTTACGCATGGGCTTTGATGGTATATCGAGGCCAAGGTCTTCACACATGTGCTGCAGCATGGGTAGCTTCAAGATCTTCAAAGAGTCATTTAGCGCCATTTCACAAAGATCGTACTGATCGTAGATCAGGGGATGGTCAAGTTGTATTGATGCAACAGTCTCCTTTGCTTCGCTAAAATTACTCTCCTCTTGAGCTGCTCGGATATCAGCCTCATCAGGATCTCTCTGGCGTACTAAGGCACTCTGTCTTGAGAAGAAGGAGGTGATCTGGGTGGTTGTGAGGAATTCCGATGACTGGAATAGTCGTGCACCATCGGTGCCCCGGGCACGCCGCATTTCTCGAGCAACTACCTCTGCGTCAAGCTTGTGGCCTGTCGTCTGCCTTATTCGAAATTTAGATAAAAGGTACGACTTTTGCTTTTCACTGAACCTGTAAGCCTTCCTTACTACTCTAAGAGCCCATCCTTCTTTCAGAGAAACACGAGAATCTTCCTGTCGTACAGGGGCTTGAAGCGATGGCAGCTTTCCCACACCTTCCTCCAAATACGATTTGTAGCCAATTTTGCCAAGTCCATTAAAGAATTTTTTCTGGTACCCTGGTACATTTTTCAGTGACAAGTGCTTTTCTAAGGCTGAAAGCCTTTGAAAAACACGAGTGCAGCCGTCTTGAGGACATGAATACACCCCTGCTGCCTGGCCACGTTCTATGGAAGCTGTCTCTTCAGCCACATTTTCTTCCCCTGACGATTTGTGGGGGGTACTTTTATAGGAACGGAAATCTCCTGCAGAAAATGATGGCTGCAGAATCCCTTGTCCAGGACCTTCAAAAGATATAAGAGAAATATAAATATGACAGCCACACAGCTAAGAAATAATTATCTTGCATGAACGCGTAGCCCTCAAAGGCAGCCCACGACAGAATACCGTGTAAGAGGGGTTTAAAATACTCACCCCTTTTTCTTGTGTTTTGTTTGTTTGAGCAGCGTTTTGTAAACATTTAATCTCTTATGGAAAGTCTTTTATGATACATTGCGGATAAAATTTTTCCCTTATTAATAGAAACCTTACAGAACAGACTGTCATAAACTAGCAGAAAGGCCTGGGCTCATTCAAGAACCATTAACTCACCAGAAGAGGATTTTTCTATTTTGATCACTTTCCCTTGGCCGACGGAATATGCGCGCCAACAGGAAAAAGAGCCCACTGAACTAAACTCAAAGTTGTTCAATTTGGTGATTCCTGTAATGGTTTGCACATCGTCTGGCGTTTCTTCGATGGTATCCAGAGAAACCACTCGTACACCTTCCAAACCGCCATGGGATAGCAAAGCTTCCTTCAGGTCGCTGGCGGTGCAGACATCATGGCCTTCATTAATAAATGCCCTAATGTGGCTTTTACAGCTCGCAGCTAGTCGATCTGCAGCCCCTTTCCCGCCTTGCGGGTCGCTGAAATCAACGCGGACTATCTTCACTCCGGTGTTCGCTGAAATTTCTTGGCACTTCATTAACGTGCGGGAGGAGTGGTAGCAGCCGGCGTTATCTTGCCTGAAGTGGGCCTTGTTGATTTCAGGATACTCTTGCTTCAATGTGGCTAGAACATGTTGCATAATCGCGGTAACAGCAGAAATTCCTTGGGTACAGGACTGAATCACATGGATAAAGGCTTGCCACTGTAGCACACCCTCTATTCGTCTGTATACCACAGATATGTGCCAAGAAATACCCCGCTTACCAAACCAGTCTGTCTGTGACTCGCGGTATCTCTGAGGCAAGAACTTCATGGCCCAGTCATTTACAATGAATACTGTTCCAGAATTAAGGGCATCGATGACGTCCAAACGAGCCTGATCTTGATGGGTCGACCTCAGCAAATGGCACTTCCATGACTGGATGGCAAGCGTAGCAGAGCTAACGAGAAACAAAGCTTCGTCTTTGTCTTCTTCTGTGGTAAAAGATGCTTCATCGACCGCAGTAGATATGTCGTTCAGGGTCGAATGCAAGCTTTCACAATGGTCACAGAGCTCGTTATGGTTGTGTTTGCATTGCTGCCGCAGGTCAGAATCTTCGGTGTCACTCAGAGCAAATACACTGCAATGACTTGCAACGGGAGAAGAAGAGCTCACGTGAACCTGAGTGAAAATAGGAAACACAGCTTGACACAAAGCATGGATTACCATGTTACTGCAACATTAACGACAAAAAATATATGCAATATGTATGCTTCATGTTATCTAAATCGAATAACCTCAATAATCTGAGAAGATAAAATCTATTACAAGCATAATTTATACTGATAAAAAACGAATACCAAGAGCAAAAACCGAGGTATATTTCCCAGTCAGGGTGGACCTGTCATCGGAACGGTTTTTTCGTGCTATACTTCCATCCATTTGTGAATAAGATCACCCTGCTTGAAAAACATAATCCAATTTTCTTGGAACTCTTGACACTTTCGGTTGCTTACCTTGAAATCACCCTTCAGGTAGAATTTGGCCACCTTTAATGATTTCACGTATCGCACTTGCCACTCCTTTCCAAGACCAAGCTCCCCCAATTGAAGAACCAAGCCTTCTAGTTCATCGAACGCACGCGCCCCGTCTGCTGCAAAATAGTCAAGGCCTTGGAGAGACTTTCTGGTCGAGGCCTTGCATTCATTTAGAACACGCAACATCGTCCGCTCGCTGAACGCCTCAAATCCAGTCTCTTTGCAGTACTGGGTATACTGACGCACAATCCTTTGCGGTATCATGGTGCGAATAACATTGGGTACTTCAACCAGTTGTCCAGAGGAGAGCTTCAGTGTTTTTTGTCCAAATGGCAGATCTTGCACCAAATGGGGGCTTGTTATATAAGATAAGTAGTGATCCAGTTGTCTTGGGTCGACTCTTATCTTTGATGAAGGCTGGGGGGTCACTGAAGCGCCGCTTCCGTGCTGAAGACGATGCAGATTAGCTATGGTAAAACGATATCTACTTAAGCCAGGTATGAATCTCGAGATATCATTATAATTGGAAACACCACACATCATCGAAAGAATTTGCCGTCTTGTGTCCCACCCATGGGCTTTGTTATATGCCTCAGCTAAGACCTGGAGGTAGCATTTGGAAGTTTCGGAGAGTTCGTCCAGCCCGAGTGCTTCGTTCATGGCAGGATAAGAGACTACTGCTTGCCAAAGAGAACCTGCACAACTGGGTGTTAGGTCGTGGAGCACAGAAGAAAAAATCTCTGCGGTTCGTCTAGTATACCAAAGCTTAGTGCTGTCACTGGCCTTTTCCCACTCAACCCAAGGTTGAGAGACAGGTTCAATGTTTTTGGACACCAGATACTCGTTCAACTTTTCACGGGAATTTGGCTTTGAGATGATGCTCTCTTCACTCGTTGAGGAGACGAGGCTTGCAGTATCGGGACTGAGAAACGTCTCGTCATCCTTCAACCCCTGGGATGATATTTCCAGAAACATCAAGTCCGTCTCTAGACCATCAGAAGATGACTCACTGCCAGCACTTGATTCCTCTCCTGGACGGCCTGTTTCCATCTCATGAACCTACGAAAAGGTTTGCTCTATAAGCATCAAATCTCTAAAACCGATTTCTTTGTATATGTTTGTAGGGAATCAGTTTCGGGTAATAAAAAAAAAAAAAAAGCACCAGGTACTGTTGCTGGACATCCAGAAAACAAACAAATGTGGGACAGGAATTAGCCTACCAAAGTGCGGCATAGCACCCCTCTCCTTCCCCACCCCTCAAATAAAAAAAAGTGACCGAAAAGTAGTGAGTTTTACTGGTCAACGAAGGAGCCTTGTCCCAGATTAACAACTGTGTTTGTCACGCTGTGTTTGTGTTTGTCACGTGTTTTTTCTTCCTCGATTTTTTTTCCAATTTCTATGCTCTTCTAAAAATGACTCTTTTCCTTTTAAAAAACAAGATTGAGATCATCAATTCATATTTGAAGCTTACCATTGTCTGTTGTTCAGGTATCTGCACTACTCGAGGCTCTTTAGGGGTAGACACAGCACTTGCTCCAGCGCCCTCCGCCGGCGTCTGTTCATCTGCAACTTGCCTGCAGATAAACTCGTCGCATCGCCTACAAATTGCTTTTATTAAAAAAAAGCAAAGTCAATAACTCATATCAATTACTATTTCTAGGTATAAAGTAATCAATCTGTCATCAATCAATGGATTATCAGCTCCTCAGACGAGAAAAAAACGTTGGCAATATAAATTGCAAAGTTTCCTCACAAATATAAAATTTGCTAGCTTGAGAAAGTTGAAACTTATAGTGCTTTTTTTTTTTTTTTTTTTTGTGTAAGGTATTACAAATAAACGTGAGAAAAAGCAATTTCATGAGAACATTTATCAACAGAAGCAATTCAACTTACGCGACCCAACTGGAACTAAGGTGTTGGTGTTGCAAAAAATATACATCGATTTTCGGCTATCCACACGGTTGCTTCCTTTGGCACTTGAGGACTTATGTGTCGCTAGATCCTTGGGAATTGCACAAAGGGTTTTCCTAGTCCTCCAACGTATGCCAAAGTCTGCCCTATGGCGTGGGCAAATAGTCAGGGTAAGATGTTTTTGCTCAAATGAGAAAACACCTGTAAAAAATATAACACCAATTAAATCTGTTGCAGCACTCATTCATAAGCACAATAAAGTTACCTGAAAACACACAAAATCAATATTTACCGGCTCTGGCTAATAGCAGCTTCATTTCAGTTCTAGAACCTTCATCTGCACTCAGTCCAAGAGTCGATAGATGTCCAGGTACATCTTTCGTGCAATCCTCGAGTGTAATGCATTCCACCTGACCAGGATAATCAGGAGATCGCCCGCAAGGGGTCACCTTACCAACTAGCGTTATATAGTTACAGAGAGCCATAAAATAACAAGAAATAATAACTTCTGATGAGAGCACGTATGAAAGCTCAAGACTCGTCCGTGAAATAACTTTCCTTAGATCTGTTACGAAATTTCAACCATTTGCGCAAGAGCTTCGTGGGCAGTGATTACGTGACAGGCTTTACCACGAGAGAAAATTGTGTTTGAATTACAGCATCTTGGTCAAGATGGTGCGAGATGTTGGAAGCTCAATGAAAATACATCTGAGATTGAAGTATAATAGTGTTATCGTGTAGTTATCAGACCTTGAGTAAAGTTTTTGTTTTCAGTCTTTGGTACATTTCATGATGACAGCCCATTTAGGGTCTCATGTGGTGCGGCCAGTGTTTGTTGGGACCGGATGTCGGTTAATTATGATAAATAGGAACAATTCGCGTTAATACACTGAACTGCTGGTAAAGAATGCTGTTCTCCTTCTGTATTCGCTGGAATTCTTGATTTATATATACATATATATCTAAAACAAACTAAAACAAAGCCCTTGCAGCTGAAATGTTTAAAAGTCATTCAACAGACTGATCAATTGTCACAATTTTCGTAATCGTAATACATATAATGGTGATCGATGAAATGACTGTAAGAACATTTTCGACGGTGATTTTATTTTCTCTCGGGTCTCACACAACTCTGAATGTACGACTTCACTATAACTCAATATTTTGTGGAACACAAGTCAAACATTTCCAGAATTAAAGTTTATTTTAAAACCTTTTTCCACCAGGGAAGGAATGATAAGATTAGCGTTTGTTTACATAACACACATCATTTTGCTCGCTCTGGACACAAACATTTGTGGTATTTTCGAAGGGAAGCGGTCCGATTCAAAGCATCAAAGTTTACTCAGGAAATAAATAGTATCATTATATTACGAATATCAAGTTAAAAAATTGAAAAATGAGGTACCAGGTACACTTTTATCGCGTTAAATTCAACCTATTTTTTGCTCTCATATTAAGCGCTCTTTGAGGGTGTTGCTAAGAAGACCTAAAAATTCTCAGTATCAATGTGCACAGAAAAATTAACATAGTGAAAATGGATGGGAAGGCTTTTTCTTATATCGTGTGAAGTTTGGTGTTAATTGAATTCATTTTAAGCCTTCAACGGAGCTTGGTTTTTGTAGTGAATTTTGGACAATTTAATAGGCGGAAAACCGCACTTAAACCGCGATTTCAAATTTTCGCCAATTTCTAAAAATTTAATAATCGTCGGAACTTTTAAACTTGATTTTTGAAAATAGTTTACCAAAGGGTATCGTTGGGCAAAATATGAGCAATTCACCAAAATGGCCGTTGACGGACGATTCTCGATCCTAACAGGCAGCCATTCTTAAAGTTTTACTGTAATTTCCTCCGTAAATTTCCTCGCTGCGCCTTAGTCCAAGGCCATTTCTTTTTTCACTCTTACGTCACATTTCTCGTCCCAGTCTCCGGCAGCAAGTGAAGATGCATATGGCGCAGAGTTTTCAGAGGACGAAGTTACAGGTTGAATTAATAGAGAATGAAGGGAATAATACATGGGCGCGCGTAGATATAGAATTTCTCTTCGAGTGTTTAACTTGATAACTCACGAGTGAGCGCAGCGAACGAGTGAGATATCGAGTTGAACATGAGAAGAGAATTTCCATATCTACAAGCAACCATGTATTATTTTGTTTCTCATATGAACACAATAGCCCTTTACTGAGAAGAAAAGCCGACTTCATTAATGAATGAAAATAAATGAATCGACAATTTCCGAATAACAATCGTAGAGTACGTTGGCACTAACTAACAATGGTCGTAATTTTCAGTTTACAAAATTCTCATTTATTGACTTTGTCCTTATCGACAGAAGAAGTCTTTCAGGTAAATGGCCAAAATGGGCCAGTGACAAATCTTCCAGTTGTCGATTTTGATTCTTAACCTTAAGAAATGCTAACACTAAAGCCACTGAAAATGTAACTTTCGGTTTTTCTTCTAGTATATTGGTTTTCTTCCCCTCCTAAGAGAGTTTGAACCTCACTGTCTGTCAGCAATACGGATTTTTCAGTATTTTATCCGCCATATAATTCGAGGAATAGTAGAACCAAAGTTGAAAACTCTTATAAGTAACTACCTCTGAGACACTACTGTGACCAGACTATTTGTTGTCATTGGAAATTCTCTGAGATTACCCTCCTTTTGAGTTACCACTTAAGGTGGGTAACTAGCCTTGCATTTTATTTGTTTAATTAATTGGTCCTCTACTTGGTTGTAATAAGGCTTGTCTGGCTTATGGATGCTCTTCTGTGTTCTTGCAAATGAGGAAACCATTCCACAACTTGCTCTCTTGCATGTAGGGAATCAGGTTTCTGCTGTGTGTCATGTAACTTGTTAGTTAACTACAAGTAGCCAAAAAAAACTATATGTATGTCAGTGATTAGTAATTGTATGTTTCATATTTTTTTTGTTTTAGTCGCACATGCCCAGTGTGCAGACACCCATTATACAGCCCAGCTCCTGAGTGAAAATTGCTACATTTTATGATGGTGACAATCAGCTGCATGTCATTCAAAAAGAAGAAGCTTTTTAAGGAGATGAAAAATTTTGGCAATTCTAATGTTAAAGTTTATATTTGTACATTGTTTGAGTTAAGGCTATTACTTTGCCATATTGGCAAAATGGATTTCAGTTAGGTTTTGGTAAAATACATGTTCTTTGAATGCTAAATATTTCTGATAAGGGAACAATTTTGTCTGGCTTTGAAAAAAATTAAGACCATGCTTCTAAAATGGAAAAAAAGGCACATAATAGTTAAATAATTATCTTATTTATTGAAGTTCTGGCTTGTTGCTTGAAATTTATCTTTGCATAGTAAGAAGAAGAATTTATAAGAATTTTGTATTCACATTATATTTTGTTATCAGTTTTATATATGTTTAATTAAATATGAATATCATAAACTAAGTTGTTCTGGCTTTTATTTGGAGCGGATTTTTTAAATTGCCATCTACTTCTTCAGTTTGTGTGTGTTTTCTAAAGTCTTCACTCAGATTAGTATCAATAGTTTTGTTTACAAATTTTTCCATATTTGGAACCGGCCCCAAGTATACCCCCCACACACCCCCTTGCCCCCGCACCCTCATGATTTTATAGTGTCTGTAAAGAAGCTTTTCTCGAAAGTCATAAAGTCCACCCAAACTGCTAGTTCGGAAAGAAAAGGAAAAGAAAAAGAGAAAACCCTACCCTTTAAGTTTTACTGTAATTTCCCCCGTAAATTTCATCGCTGCTCTACAGACAAAGGCTATCTTGTATTTTTACTCTTACGTCATCCCTATTGATCCCAGTCGTCGGCAGGAAGTGAAATGGATGGCGTAGAGACGTATACGGGCTCAGAGGTTTCGCTTTATACGGGCTTGGAGGACAAAGATACAGGTTGAATTAAAACTGTTCAAATAGGTCTGATTAAACTGTAATGCATGTTAACTGTACGTAATTCGTCAGCAGCTTGAGGCACCAGAAGTTCCGACAAGGAGGACAAGGGCTAAGTTGCATGGCACGCGGTAAGCGAAGAAGCCACGTTCTTCTTGCTTTTTCGTTCCATATTGTGAGAAAGGCATTTGATGGCAAAATGTCGACCAAACATTGTTTCAATCTCGGCATAAAGGATTTTGTTGCCGGAAAAAGAAGGAAGATTGTCTAAACACGGGTTCGATATATTTGTAAGCATCATACCGAAAATTGCAATTGATTTGTAGTGGACTTTGTTCAGGCGAAAGTGTGATCTAACTTCGGCGACAAAGTTAATATCTATTATCTGTTAATCCATACAGATTACGACCTAACTTATTCTCGAGAAACCGTGTGACATTCATTCGTCAATCTTAACCTCGTATTGACATGCTTAAGCGCTCGTATATATTTTTTTAAATCCAAGTTTTCGCTGAGTTTTTCTGGACTAAGCGCTAATAGCTTAAAGACATCTGAGGGAAGGAGAAAGCTATCCAATTAACGTACTGAAAGTTAATTTACCTACTCGAAAAAGGACCTCTGTTGTCATTATTCGTGAATGTCTCCTTAAGATCCACTGATGAGGATCTATATATATTTCATTAAGTGTAAATTAAACGTTTCCGAAAGTAGTTTGCTTACCGGTAATCAGATTTGAGACACTAGATGTTAGAACGCTTTGAATAAGTACACTTGATCACGAGATAGTTGTGATGTCTTTATATAGCATATTGAAAACAATATTGAACCAGATCAAAACAAAGCCCTGAGAAATGTAATTTGATATTTGGTAAATCAATTTTTGTATTTTGTTATCTCCATAAAGTCATTTTTGTACAGCAATAATAGTGATATTGAATTCTGATACACACCTGAAATATACAGATTGGTACAGCTCTCAATTTATCTTTACATTACCAGTTTAGAATAATGTGTTACCTACTATAAACAGTTCATTAGTTTCACAATCTTTGAGAATTATAGTAAATAAGGATTTTACATGTGAAATGTGAAAACTTATTAGACAGAATATGTTTTATTCAACTCATGTTTTATTCAATGATGTTTTATTCAATTAATGTCATTGATTCCTTAGATGGCATCTAATGTTGAAGAGGAGGTAAAACAATATGCAAGTGCTGGTAGAGAGGAGTCCTCTGAAGAACAAGGAGAGCCAACAGCACTGTACAATGTTAGCACAGCTATTCAGAAAAATGCTTTGGAAGCTATGGACATGTTGCAATTGGAGATACAAAGTGTTAAGGAGGAGAATGAAATATTTAAGGAGTTTTTCAGTAAGATTATGGAATGTGGTGGAGATGAATATCATCAAATAATAGAGAGAGGAGGTTGGTGATGATTCATTCAACGTGATTATATAACATAGTGTTTGGTGTTCTTAATTGAAATATTAATATGGATACCTTTTGATATATGTGTCTTGTAGTATCCATGTACTTCAAACCAGATCTGCTGAATCAAACTAAAAATCTAAATTTTTACAGTGGCTCTCAAAAGTATTTATGAGTAAACCCCCTTCACCCTTCAGAGTGAAGGAGAAAGGAACCTAGTTAATTTCTTACAAGAGATTTACTAGTTCAACTTATGGTTTAATAAGGCTTCTGTTTTTGGTGTCAATTTTTAGATTAAGTGATGTTACCATGACATCATCATCTCTGATGGAAGGCAGATATATTCCAATTTTGGGTCTAATACTGCAGGATCTTTGTAAAATGTCTTTTGTTCTTTGCCTCATTATGGAAATAATAATGCCTGACCTTTTGAAATGACTAAACTTTTTGTTCATACATTTTTGCCATTATTCAGTGTCTAATGTGTCATTTTACTATAAATACATTGGATTAATTCTGATAGGTTTAAACAAAAACAGGCTATTTGATAGGAACTGTAAGTGGTCATCAATGGAAAGACACTAAGTCTCGCTTGAAAGATCTCCTTTTTCTTACTTGCTTGATATTAAATCATGAAGTAGCTCTTTGCCAAGATGGATGTCTGAGCTTGCCTAAACTTTTGAATCTTTTTCTATTTGGCAATCTTTTCCCAGGTGATTTCTTTTCTGTTGACTTCTTTTTCACACGAAGTAGGTCAATGGATAGTATGGGTATAGTTGCTTGAAACCCAAGAGTCTATTAGATGAAAACTGTGTTTTATGCTCTTTTTATACACCTTGCTTGAAAAAAATTAGCAATTGTATTGAGCTACCATGTTAGTTTTGCTTGATGACAGTTTTAAAGCTAAAGCTATGATTGCGTCCAGATCTGATGTAATCAAAGAGTTTGTGGAGCCTCCTTACCTGGGAGCCAGACAATTTTTTTCTTTGGTTCTTGTCATGGTGATGTCTGGTTCTCTGAACAGTAATCGGGCTGTATTCAGGCTCTGTCAGGCTCCAAATTTTAGTACAGGAAGATCTCATTGTTTACTTTTCTTTTCTAGTTTTAAACTTCACTGTAAATCAGTTGTGAGAGTTAGTGTTATACTGCAGCTGATCAGGTCATCTTTTGTTATCACATGATAGACAGATTTTTAGAATGGTGCTGATTTGTGCATATAATGTGTGGAAGGAATTAATCATTTTGATTTATTTCTTGTGCAGGTTTGAATTTACTTCAACATAAAGTGCAGGAGATCATAAATCCAGTTGGTAAAGCTGAAAGAGAGTATGGCCGAGGCACCACCATCAATAGCAACCATACCTGTGAATTGCAAGATAAAGTTGCATTCTACATGTCTCAGTGCTGTGAACAAAGAGAAGAATTAATACAAGTAAAAGAGAAGTTGAAGCTCTTTGAAGAGGAGAATGAAGATCTTCAAGCTGAAGTAGGAAGACAATTGTTTCTAGAGAGCAAAGAAAAGCGCCTCAGAAATATTTGTCAGCCCCCCAGTAAATATGCAAGTGGAAAGAGTAAGCCTGGTAGAGCTACAGGTGCTTGGTATAGCTCTTCATGTACAGATGTTAAACTACCTGATGGTGCAGGTCTAATGGAGGAATCAGGTAATGACTTCCTTTATTTAAACTTAGTACCACTTGGAATGTCAGGGTTGTCAAAATAATTAAGCCAGTAACTGGCATTTTTTTTTTTTTTGTTTACTCAGAAAAACATGCCAACCATTCCCAGTGTTTGTGGGATAATATTCAGCTTGTAAGAATGATATTGCACTGCCTACTTTGTATTACAAACTGTTACTCAAAATCATATATCTTTCTTCTACTACAAACTTTGCACTTTGAAATACATTACTTAAGTTGCCTTTAAGGTGGCACCAAGGTTAAATTCAGTGAATTTTATCTCAATTTTTGAATGAACTTGACTCAAATGTCTAAAAAGGGGACTCAAGCCTTGATGTTCAAAGTTTGTGAGAATCTAGGATTGAGAATTTGGGAGGAGTTTGAAAGGACTGTCAACTTACTTTTGAGTGGTACTGATGTTTGATTTTACCTTGGTATTGGTCAGCCACTATTTTTTCCATTCCTATCACATTTTCAACAGAATTTTGTGTGAAACTACAGAAATCTTTTGTGTGTTTGTTGGGTTGTTGGTACATGTAGCTAAGTACTAACTAGGCCAGTTTGATCAAGAGAAGGGGTACTGGATACTAATAGCCTTTGAGGCATAAATTTTCATCACAGAACAAGGAAGGCGACCTACTTTACAGCCAATCCATGGCTATAAATGCAAGCTTGTGCCTATGTACAAAAGTGGCTCTTTTAAACTTGCACGAACAATATTTATGAGTAATGTTAATTTATGCAATAATTATCTTGTCTGAAAGATGATCACCATTAAGCATGCTTGATTGGTAAAGGTCATGGCTTTCTGTCTTTAGCTTTCAATAATGCACCTCAAAAGGGAGATTTTGCGCAGTCTGGAACCTTGTTGTATTGCAATTTAGTCAGTATTTCAAGTTACAACTAAAACTTGGTGCTGTACCTTGAAATTCCATTACAGTAAAAAAGATTCTCAAAATTTCACCTTTCTTTGGATATGTATACATACATGCATTATACCATTCCAAGAAGGTATTGATTTGAATGAGAATAACACTTGCATTTGTAAGAGTTACCTCACATTTATCTTGTTTGCATTTTCTTTTGCAGGTTTCTTGCTTCAACAAAGACTTCAGGAGATCTCACTTTCCCTATCAGAATTGGAACTAAGCGGGATCAAGAAGCTTGTTCGACCCCAATGTGATGAAGTGGAAGAAGGGAAAGAAATATTTGGCAGCATTGAAGTTGATGAAGAGGACAAAGTTTGCGACAATTCCAACATAAACTCATTTAACAGCGATAGTGAGGGAGCTGCTGTCACTTTTCATACAGAGAATGTGAATGGATCAAATTTTTTTGGTGATGTGGATCTGTCAGAAGAGAGATATGATTCAGCCTCAAGCTTGTCTCAGTCATTTGATGTGCCAAGTATTGGATTGGAATCTCGAGAGAAGTCTTGGTCACCTTCATCTACAGGTGAACAATCTGAAAGTGAAAAGCTGAAAGGAGCATGTGCTGCAAATGGCAAAAGGGACAAAGAAGTTACACATGATTTCTCTTTTCCTGATGGTGCAGAGACACAATTTTATTCTAATCATCACTTAAATTACACCGTAGATGGTGCAGATAATTTACCAGAGAGAGCCCAAGATAGTTTAAAGCAAGAAGACTTCACAAGTGTGAATCAAGATTCACTTCCCTATGGAGATTCACCTCAGAGGCAAATTGTTTCAGGTGCAAGGTTCACTGCTCAAAAGGACACAGCAACAGATCAGTCTGACTCTCATGTGAGCTATCAGTCAAAGAAATGGGAGCATTTAGGGGCCAGGCCAAGAGACAGACCTCCTAAAATAGACAGATGTCCAGAACCTTCTTTGCTAAACTCATTGGAAGACTTGGCCCCTCAACAAGGTGCTGGACCTGTGGCTTATGGAGTGGCCAACACATTCTTAGCAAGACACTCAGAAGACAAACATCTTCACGAAAGTTTATATTACACTAATGCAGAGAAGATGTTGACTGAGAATTCTTCATTACAAGGAGCTTCTCATGTAGACAGTGTGATAAACGTGACAGACTCAAATAAAGCTCAACTGTACTTTGGTGAATGTCAAGTTCCTTTCAGGCCAGATCCATATTCTCAAACATATGCATCATTGTTCCCTCAGACTAGTGGAGCATTTATTGGAGGAAATAATAGTTCAAACCATGTCACTGAGTTAGTGGAGTCTCCAAGCAACTGTCTGTATGAAGGGGAACAGCATGCTGATGAAGATTGTGCATTGGTGAAGACAGTGCCAAGGGAGAGAGAAGAAAGGGAACAGTCTGGCCAAGAGAGACAAGAGCATGAATTCCAAGCAGAAAGAGCACCACAGAGACAAAGGGATGAAGGGAGCCACAGGTAGCCTTTAGGGGGCAAGAGTGTCAAGAGGCATTGGGAAGACCCATCATGTGTCAGGAGGTAAGAGACTGTTCTGAATACAATTGTATGTTATTGTATCAGAGTTGAGTGAGGAGTTGTCAGTCAAGTGTTTTAAGTCAGGTTGCTACCACTGTGTGGAATTAATTTGGAACCAAAGTGTGTACCAAAAGTGCACTTCTTTGTATACTTTTTGTATAGTACCAGTCTTCCTGAGGGGACATTGTGATTTTTACATTCTGTATACAATTTTACATACTTTTTGCATAGTAATAGTGTTGCTGGAGCAAACTCTGGTGGTTAGATATATTTTGTATGGTATAACTGTGTTGCCCTAATGATAAATACTTCATGTATGCGTTCTCTATACAGAGCATTGTTACTCACCCTGTGTCCTTTTATTTTTTTCCTATTTATTTTTCACCTAAAAGTCTAAGACTTATTGGCAGCTTTTGACAAGAGGTAGTGGCCGTAGCTGAAGCTGAAATTAATTGCTATTGATTTAGGGGGCTTAAAATGGGGCATCAAATTGAGAAATCAAAGAGCAGCCATTGAGCTCACAGTGAAATGTGGAGGTGAACACAAGAAGAGAAATTTCTTATCTACAAGCAACCATGTATTATTTTGTTTATCATATAAACACAATAGCCCTTTACTGACAAGAAAAGTCAACTTTATTGATGAATGAATGGCTGTGCTGTTTATTCATCAACCTGACAAAGTGGCGCAAAAAAATATTTTTTCACATGTGCTGTTATATGGCTTTTCTCAGGGCTGGAAATCCTTGTATGGCATGGTGTCTCTTAAATTGCAATGTTTTTGAAAAGGGATATATGTATATATCCTTGGAATTAAAGTGGTTTTGTGGTCATCTCTTGAATATTGCATCAAAATTATACTTTTTATCTAAAATTGCAACTTCTGGATTCTTTACTAAAATTTTTGGTAACAGCAAATATGGCCAGATATGCTAGTGTATGGGAGGGCATAGATTTCGATTTTGAGCAAACAGGGTCACTGCCTATTGCAGAATATAGATTTCAGATGTGGATCCCAATTGAAGAGGCTTTGGTTAAAAAATTACTGTTTCCTTACAGGAGAGGTATTTTGAGATGCCAACCACCTTAGTTGTAGATGCATTAGACTCCACTCACAACAATGCTCAGGCCTTTGTACAGGGTGTTAGAGATGCAAGCAGGAGGATTTCAGCAGGGAACCCACAGTTCAGAAGATGTTCTGTTCAGGAACATGTAAGCTATTGATGATTCTTGTACAGTTGGATATTAAAATTACAGGTTCTGTCAGTCATTATGCAACAAAATTTGCATGGGAGGCTCAGAAAACCATGAATGCCAGAACTGTTTTTGCAATGTTGTCAAGTCTCAAAGAATAAACCAGTCACAAGAGAACTTAACTGGGTGCTTGGAGATCTCATTCAATAATGTTTATTACTTGTTAAGGGCTCCCTCAAATATTGTCAAGTAGAACAAGGGATTTTTTTGTGTAGTCTACCCTGGTGTCCTTAAATGCCAAATGTCAGACAAAAAAAATTTGAAAATGATCAGTCTAGTGTTTTGAAAAAACTAGCTTCTGAAGTAAATTCTGAATTATTTTTTTAATTGTTATCTTATGGTTTTTCTTTGATAGTATGATCAAGATGCTAGCCCTGCAATCTGTACAACTTGTCACAGGTATCGACATCTGTAAGTATAAATCAGCAGCAAAAAAACATAAGATTTCTATTCTCCCTGCCCATGTTTACTTTTGAACTTGATTCCATTTTGATACAAAAAGATACACAATAAACCAGGAAAGAGTAATGGTGAGAGATATAGTGGTATGCTGGTTAACCCTTTAACTCCCAAGATGTCATTAGTAATTCTTCTTACTGTCTGCCAAACTTTCAATTCTCATTCTGTTAGTTTGGAGAATTTGGTGTCAGATCAATTAGTAATCCCATAATTGATATTTTATGGGAATATAGTTGACCCACTTTGACTCTGTCATGTGCCAATGTTAATGTCATCTGTAAATAACTCATTGGTAAATAAAGGTTTATGTTCATGAATTCATGTGGTATCTTTGATCTATCTTTTCTCTAGTGGACCATGCAGGGTAGGAGTTCAGAGCTGCCATGATGAGTGCTACATCTGCCAGATGGTAATTTTATTGTTGCTATACAGTGACAATTTGTGAGCTTAGTGGACATACAGTTGAACCTTAGTCTATGAATCACATGGTGTTAACCCGCAGTTTTCTCCAATTTTCCAGCCATGTATGTAACACTACATCCAAATTCCTTCATATCTGTCTGTTCTTCGCCCCCTGCCCTCTTTCCTCCTTTGTAAGAAGGTTAGCTGTTCCACTCCTGAGATATAGATATCATTTCTCTACACTGTGTGCTGCACAGATCTCTGAACATTTTGGCTTTAAGAATATGGTGTTTAAAAAAAATCAATTTTTTGATGTTCTTCTTTCCCCTTCTACTTGAGAAATAACTTCCTGGAATGTCAGGGTTATTTTCATTAAGTGGAGGTGGAAAGAACTGATCCTTAAAATGTGACAAAGAATAAAATTCAAGTTTTATTCCCCTCTGTTGAGATCGACTAACCAAAAAGATATTAGTTGTTCATCATTCCATTAGTTACTTTTTGCCTGTAACTGAAGATACCTTTTTTACGTGAGAACAACACTCTTTTTAAATTGGACCTCTGTATTTGCAGGATACATCTAGCGGTTTACATATTTTGCAGTGCTCACACAGGGTTCATGTGGAGTGTATTGTTTGGCTGATACAGCACAACATGTAAGTTTGTCACAATTCAGCAAGTTCCAGCAATCCTCCATCATAATTGAATGGCCAAACTGGTACATTCTATTTTGTAGTTATACTTAGGCATTCTCTTTCTTTTGGTCACCATGCAGTCTCTGCAATCATGCTGATCCACTTCATATTCAAATTATAGGAGATGGTTAACCATTGTTAAAATTTTTATGACCATCTTCACTGTCATTTGCAAATAAAAAATTCTCGTGTTTAAGCTGGTAATTTATGTCTGAGAAGTATGTGTGTATTTATTTTTCAGATTAAATTGCCCATCTTGCTTTGGTGCCTTTTTTCCATCAAGTTAATTGTGCTCCAAGGTGTAGTCCAAGGTTGTTTAGGTAGTAGAACTTCTAAAGAGTGAATCACTCACAAAGTTTGGAAAGTTTCTTTTTAGCATCAGTAAGATGTATATGTCTTCGTTACTTATAAAACTTTCATTTGTTTAAACTATGTAATAAGTTAAGTAACAGTTAATTGACATGTATGATATGAAAGAACATAAGATGTTAATGTAAAATGTTCAGGTGAACAAGTAGTATCGTTATGAAACCAAGGTAAACAATACCCATAGAATCATTCATCCTATGTTGATACTGGACTTCTACTTGGATGGTCATCTGGTTATTTCGAAGCTAATTCTAGGTCAAATAGTGACTTTAATTCATTAACTACTCATTTCTTAACAAGTGACTTTGCACTTAGTATGAGAGAGTTTCAAGTACTAAGAGGTGGGCCTCTTCTATCTCTGCAAATTAATTGACTAATCATTCAAGGTTCAGCATTGAGTTCTTACTTGACTGAGATGGACCCTGAATCTCAAAGATCTGCAACACCTGCCACAAATGCAGGGAGAAATCTCGATAAAGATTATTGCCAATATAGAAGTTCTGAGATGAACAGAAACTATGACAGAAACTCATTGGAGTTGCCTGACATTTTCCTGCTTGAAGTGGAATAGCTAAAAGAGAAGAGATTGAGAAGTGTTTGATTGAAAGAAAGGGTGTGAAATAGCAGCAGAAATTGCAAGAAAGGAGGCAGGGAGCTGGAGAAAGCCAGATGATGGCAACAATGTCCAGAGGTGGTGAGAAGACCCTTGCATTTTTGGAAGGTAAGAGTTCTTGTAAAGTGAAGTGTCTACCATGAAGGCCTTTTGCTTCCATTCTTCAAGGTCTCTATTAGTTTGCAATTGCTACCAAGAGGTTGTGCAGCAAATTGAAGAAGTTGTTGAGGTGTTCCTTAATCACTGGCATAAATTGATTTGTTTTCCTCTAGATAGCTTATAAAGATATAATTCTTCTTGAGGTTTGTTTTAGATAATAACAGTTCTTTTTCCTTACTAGAATTCTCTTAATTCTATGAGCTTCCTGTTGCACAACCAACAGCTCTCACAACCAACAGCTCTTAGGTATTGCTACAAGCAGTATAAAAGAGCAGCATGGATGAGGATTTCAGCAGAGAACCCACAGATCATGGTACAAATGTACTGGTGAAGAGGTAAGCAACTGATATTTACTTAGGAATAAAAAGTTAGCCATTGATATACAGGTTATGTCAGGTCAGGTAGTAACCATGTTCAACAATTGCTTGAAGAGTTGTCACTGTAAAACTCAGAAAACCTATGAACACCACAAATATTTCTGGAATATGTTATAAACTTAAGAAGGACAAACCAATGATGCGAAAGAGAGCTGAACTGTCAGCTTGCAGATCTCATTTTGTTTGTTATATGATTGGTCGATCATTACAGAATAAACAGTGAATATGAACCCCAGGTAGTGGAAGGGAATTGCTAAAGTTGTGTGAGGAAGCTCATATACATTCCGTTTTTAGTTTGATAGAAAATGGATGGTCTCTTGTGAGACCTTGAGCTTTTGTAAAAATTAAGAATTCATTTCCAAGCTTTTGCTGATCCATGGAAACCACTTTATAATTTCACAATGCTACTGAAAAACAACATGAAAAAGTTACTGTTTGTTTTGATTCTGTTTTGTTTTTCTGTGTTAATTTCATGGGGTTTATCCCTTTTTGGTATGGTGAAGTTAAGTCAATATAATTTTTGTTGTCTAAAACAAGGAATTTTTATGTAGTTCTTTTGATCTACAATTGATCCCATGATGTGTTTGGGAATAAGGTTAAGGAGCTTTGCTGTTTATTGTATTTGGTAAAGCTTTTACTGATTCAATTACAAAGAAATATTATCAAGCCACATGCCCATATAGTGGACAAAGCATTTTTTGAAAACAAGTAGTTTCATGTTGTTTAAATGAAAGGTCTCGAGATAAGGGTCTGTTTGTTTTCAACTATTTTATTAATTTTTGTTTGTTTGTTTGTTTGTTTTTTTAATAGCATGACCAAGATGCAAGCCCATTTGGTACAACTTGTTTCAAGTGTATATATTTTCTTTTTACGAAGTAAAATGAGAGAAGAAAAGATTATTACGTTTAATGTAGTGGAGATTAGACCTATACTATAAAACAATCATTATTGTCTAACCTGGTGAATCTCAGTGTTCTTTAAAAAGCCTTCTATCATTTTGTATTTTATTATTTCATTTGACATATTTTTATTTATTTCCTCCTTAGTTTAAATATATTTAACAAAGAAGAGAACGTGTGATAAATAAGTAGGAATATTATTGTAAAATGTAACACGATAAAGTGGCAAAGGATAATTAAGACTATAGACATGGCCTTGTTTTAAGTTATGTAGGTTCTGAGGTTAAAGTAAAAAAAATGAAATGTAGTATTAATGACTTGTATTCTGCTTACTGTCTCTTGATTGGGGTCCCTCCAGATTTTAATTATCTTATATATACTCATAACACTTCCTTTGGCAAGTTTACAGACAAATGGTTAAACTAGATTGTGATGTGCGTAGGTGATTCCATGATATTACTGTGATGATTTTACAGCCCAGTAATTCGATGATATCACAGCCCAGTCGAACAGAAACCTAAATTAGGAAGGTTGAAAGTGCAGATTATATATGTGTATGCTGTACGCTGTATGCTGTGGGAAAGGGGGTTGGGGGCAGATACAACCTTTAATTTTGGTTCCGTTTAGCTGTAAATCGAAATACCTTCTATGATGAAATTTCAATCATAACATAGCTAGTAAATTTGTCTGATTAAATTCAATTGCGCGAGCATGCTTCATATTCCTATTGTGCACGCTCATGACGTCAGCAAACATATCCCTCGAGAAAAAATTTTCCATCGGGTTAAAAATGTTATAAAACAATTGGTTCATACGTCAGCTGTGCGTTCATCGAGATATGAAGCACGCGGGAAGTTTGGAGAGCAACTCTAGCTTCTTGAGTGTTCTCTAAACTTCCCGCGTGCTTCATATCTCGATGAATGCACGCTGACGTATGAACCAATTGTTAATGAGCGTATAAAAATAGTTTAATTCATGGTGAGTTCTTTTTCGTGATACATGATCAGTAAGTACGAACAGACCCAATTTGTAGTTCAAAGTGAAACCTTTTTAGTTTGTGGTCCCATCGTTTTCAAAGCAAGAAACAATTTGGAAGCGAAAGAAAAGACACGTTGCAACCACGTTGCTGTTCTTTGAAATGTCTGCGATAAATAGCATGCATTATTGTGGTGAATCAAGGGGGGAACGGTTATCAGTCCTCCCTTCCCCCCACATTTTTTTGTGAGGAAATTTCTCCGGCGTAGCAAATCATTTTATCGTTTAATCAAGAACGCGCTTCGCGTAGGGATGCCTTGCAGGGTTTTAGTTTTAAACAGCTCTCTGCTGATGCATTGTCATAAATTCATTGCAGACACATTGGACATTGTCACGATTGCACATATATTTGCATCACCAGCGAACTATGTAAAGGATATCTAACAAATTTTTTTTAAGGGAGATGCGTCAGACTTGGTGTATGATGAATCCCTCCGCCCTTTTTTATCCCTTCATGCCTCACCCGAACGGGGGATTCCCATTGAATCATTTTCTCATTTGCAGTTGTCCGTGTAAGGTCCATAACAGGTCGGCATACATGATTATAATTTTTTTTATGGTTCACAATGTGTTCCATTTCTAAAACGTTAACACGCATCTTCCCTTAGTTACCCATTTTAAAGCACGTTCATCCCCACCTACCCTAAATTAACCATGTTCTACAAAATAAAACCCCCATTTACCCAAAGTTAACTATGTTCTACCACATTAACCCGCATCTTTCCTAAGTTAACCATGTTTTACCAAGTTAAACAACATTTACCCTAAGTTAACCATGTTCTACTACATTAACCCACATCTTTCCTAAGTTCCTAAGTTAACCATGTTCTACGACATTAACCTTTATTTATACTTATTTAACTAGGTGTACCACATTAACCCACATCTACCCTAGGTTAACCATGATTTATCACGTTAATCCTCATGTGCCCTTAGCTAACCATGGTCTACCACATTAGCCAACAGCTTCCCTAAGATAACTATGTTTTACCACATTAATTCACATTTACCCTCAGCTAACCACGTCCACATTAATCAACATCTTCCCTAAGTTAACCATGTTCTACCACATTAACCCACATTTTCCCTAAGTTAACCACATTGTACCACGTTTACTCATATCTACCCTAAGTTAACCATGTGAATATGAAAGTGATCTTCGTAGGGAGCTGGTCATTATGTTGGTTCCAAATAAACCCGTGAAATGGTGATAAGCAACTATGAATATATGAAAGTCACATATTTGAACTGCGGATAAAAACGTGAATATGAAAGCGATCTTCGCAATCTTCCATGTCCACCCTCGTTTACTCTGAGGCATGACAACTGATCAGGGTTTCACTATTGTTAGCGATATGATTAATGGAATCTTATTTATTGAAGTAAAGAGGGTGTTTGATATGATGGACCGTGACAAGTTTTGTTAAAAAAAAATTGGGTGTTTCGAGTTTAAAGGCTTGCTCTCAACCTGCTCTTATGATAGCTAGGAAAAAGCCAAGCTATATATTTAACCATCACCAACGAAAGTCTTATCGCATGACACGGACAGCATGACACGCTTGGGATATTGTCAACAAGATATTCCTAGAGATAGCAGTAACCGAATGCAGTTTATCATTTGATTCTTCATCAGAAATATAGGAGTTAAGCTCCCTGGTCAGTTTTAAGCTGTATTTCATCCGTGCATTCCTTTAAACTGAATCTTATCGTCTTCACCCTCTGACAGTTCGTTGCATCTCCCTTGTCACAGTAAGGTCGCTCGTTTATCGTCAAGTACTTTAGAAATTATTGAAAGTAATCATCTGCTACGAGGTTCATAAGTTTTAGGTTATTTGGGATTTTATTGACAGTATAAGCGACCAGAAACTCGACCAGGAAAAACAATACCGTGCTCAGGTGTATTTCGCAGAGGTTCTGGCTAAGAGACCTCGGGAAGGTTGATGGGGTCCTTAACGATCCCCATAATATTTCGAGTATTGGTGTGGTTTGTTTGCCCAAGAGAGAAACACCACAGGTATCACGACAAAGTAAAGTTCCACGTCAAGTATTGTAAGGTTTTGTTATCTAAGAAGGAAGGCGATGCCACTCAATATGCAGCCTGCAAGGATGGAGGAATCAAGTCTAGGTGCCCTTGCCTGGAACATGAACAGGGTTGCTCCTCTTTATGCTCCTATGTGATTTGCGAAAATATGCACGGTGTCCGTTCTCGCCCTTCCTCAAGACCGTCAGGGGTGAAGAGGGAAAGATCACTCGGTATCTACCAAAGGTTGAAGGGCTCTGAGTTCTTATCGTCGGCAGGAATTCCGCAAATACGTGGACCATGGACGAATTATGAGTCAGTTTTGTCAGGAAGTGTGATGAAAGTTATTACTCTAACAAATGTAGAACCCCCTCCGGAAAACATTTCCACAATGCACAATTTCGTTGTAAGTTCTAACAATGTTAACAGTGTTAACTTAGAGAAGATGGGGTTTAACGTGGTAAAACATGGTTACCTAAGGGTAGATGAGAATTAATTAGGAGTAGATGTCGGGGGTTAATTTAGAGTTGATGTAGGTTAATGCGGTAAAACATGGTTAACTTAGAGTAGATGTGGGTTAATGTAGTGGAACATGATTAACTAAGGGTAAATTTGGGTTAATGTGGTAGAGCATGGTTAACTTGGGGTAGCTGAGGGTTAATGTGGTAAAACATGGTTAACTTAGGGTAGATGGGGGTTAATGTGGTAGAACATGGTTAATTTAGGGTAGATGTGAGTTAATATGGTAAATAGAGAATAATACATGGGCGCGCGTAGATATGGAATTTCTCTTCGAGTGTTTAACTCGATAGCTCACGAGTGAGCGCAGCGAACGAATGAGATGTCGAGTTGAACACGAGAAGAGAAATTCCATATCTACAAGCAACCATGTATTATTTTGTTTATCATATAAACACAATAGCCCTTTACTGGGAAGAAAAGCCGACTTCATTAATGAATGAAAATAAATGAATCGACAATCCTCGAATAATAATCGTATAGTGCGTTGGCGCTAACTCTTAAGATGGAAAAATGCGTTGAATCATGATTACAAAAACAACAATGGTCGTAATTTTCAATTTACAAAATTCTCATTAATTGAATTTGTCCTTACCGACAGAGGAAGTCCCAGACAAGAGAAATGCTAACACCAAAGCCGCTCAATACGCAACTTTCGGTTTTTCTTTTAGTATATTGGTTTTCTTCCCTTTCTAGGAAAGTTTGAACCTCATTGTCTGCCAGCGATACGGATTTTTTAGTGTTTTAGCCGCCATAATTCGAGAAAAACTCCGACAAACAACTTGTATTGAGAATCGTGAAGGCTTTGCCGTTCATTCATCAAGATGACCGAGTGGCGCCAAAGACGAGTGACGTGTAAGCAGCTGATTGGCTATATCAACACACGTGAAAAAATACGATATTTTTTCACGTGTTTTGTTACGGCTTTTCTCAGGGCCGGAAATCCTTGTATAACACCGCAGTTTATGTGATAAAACATGGTTAACTAAGGGTAAATGGGGGTTAGTGTGGTAGAGCATGGGTAACTAAAGGTATATATGAGTAGAAGTAGATGATAGTTAGCTGAGGATAGATGTGGTTTAATGTGGTTAAACATGGTTAAAGAGGGGTCTTTGTGGTTTAATATGGTAGAACATGGTTAACTTAGTGAGGATGTAGGTTAATGTGTTAGAACATGGTTAAATTAGGGTAGATGGGTGTTAATGTGGTAGAACATGGCTTAATTGGAGTAGATGTGGGTTCACGTGGTAGAACATGGTTAACTTAGGGAGAATGTGGGTTAATGTGGTAGAACATAGTTAACGAAGGGAATGTGGGAATTAATATAGTAGAACATTAAGAAATCACTGGTCGAGGCAAAAACCCGCATTTCGGCAATGCAGGAGGAGATTCGTAGTTTGGAGGCTACGGTACATTCGGCCGAAAATATCTTCGGGAACTGTTCTTCACATTTACTGCTTAAACCGATGTTTGCCAACTTAAAATTTAGCACACTTAGAATACAAGTTGGCGATTACTTGAAATCCTATGGAAAATTCTGTTTTTCAGTTCTCTGTACCAGATTTTCATGTAGTTAAACCAGGTTTAACAACTGTGTTTTGCTGGTGTGGATGAGGTATTAGTTTTATTTATTGAAAGTGGGTATAGAAATTTTATTCTGAATTTAAATGTTACAGTCCGCACTACAAAAAGTTTAAAAAACACACACAT